ACACCTCGTATTTTCTTTGCGTCCCAAAATAGCTTTTAATAGTAATAATTTTATATTAAATATGTTTTACAAAATAGCTTTTCATCCATTTTTTTTATTTTTGGGATGGCCACTTTTACTACACTTTTTGTTTTTTTGTTTAAGGTTTTACCAAATTTTCGGCTTTTAGTTTTCTAATTTGAACACTTTTTGTATTTGCTTGCTTTTTTCCAATGATCTAATATTTAAGATTTATAAACAGTAACACAATGGTATATTTCGACTTTGTACTGCGCCAGTAAAATAACCAAAAAATAGAACTCTTTTTTTTTTTATTTATCTTTGTTTAAAACACACACCGAGATGAAAATATAACTTTCAAACTAGAGCGGTACAGGAAGAAGGTAAAAAGGAAATTCGGATATTTCGGTAGAAGATTTCAACGATTATGCTACAAACAAGAAACACTCGGGGAAACCTAATCAACAGGGTTATCAATTTTGCGTTGTCGAAAATAAACGTAAATAAAATGCATTTATAGTAATTTAATTCATTAAATTCCCTTTTATTATATAGTTTGAACCTTGATATTATACATATTTGAAATACTACATCTTTCAAATGATCGTCTTCCCAATTTTTACAAACTTCGAACGGTATTTTAGCCATAACTTGACGAACGCGGGTATTTAATTGCTCTAGAGTTAAAGGTTTATCCGCATTAACATGATCTTTTGCGTAGCTCCACAAAAAAATCCAGCTGTGTCAAAACACACGATCTCGATTGAGGAGAGTTAACGTGGATATTTCTCGCGCCATAATAAAGCCATATTCGCTCGTGTTGTTTGACATGATCTTTTTGAAAACACATATTGTGCAGGCTCTCGGAGTGGCATCTTAATATACGGTCGAATTGATTATGGTGGGTATCAACACAGCTTCGTCCATGAGTTTTGTTATACCAGTTCTTTGATTCTTTTATATATGTAATTTTATATTAGCTGATTCATCTTTTGAAAAGGGAATGTTCCCTTGATCTTTCTAATCTCCCGTTATATATGTCCCCAAATTGTATTCCTTTTCTTTATTGTCCCAAATTCTGGTTCATGTCCCAAACGTGATGAGGAGCATTTTCCTCTCGTGACTCCGCTTTTTTCTCTATAAGTATATGTATATAAAATCATATATCTATCAATAATGTAATGTTATGCTCATTAAAACAAATAAATATACGTTATATAAAGAAATGAACTTACGATAATTAATCATCACAAATTAAAACAATACACAAATTTAGGAACTATTACGCATTGAAACGAATTAGACAAAGCGAGGTCCAAGCTTTGTGTCGGGGATACGTTTAAAAAAATACGATGCAAAGAGAATTAAAAATTTCTATAGCAAACCATGTAGACATCGAAGATAGGTTCCAGAGTGAAGAAAATACTACTTAAAAAAAAAAACATTGAACAAAGTATACATAAAAAAATAATAATATTTCAGCCTTTTATATATTATATTTACCATATAAAATAGGTAAATAATATAATTCAAAAAAACAAGGTAATTTCACTAAATTTTTTTTTAATTTTTAAATTTCTTTTTTTAAATAATTTTTCATATATTTGAAATTAAAAAAAAAAAAAACAAAAATAGCAAAACCTTTCAATGTAAAGAGGAAAATATAGAAAAATAAAACGTACTCACAAAAAGCTCAAAGGTTTTGCATTGAATTTACTGATATCTAATGGAAACAAAATTATTTTCATGCGGCATAGCATTTTTTTTATAAAAATACATATGAAATATTTTTAAAGTGGCAATTTCTTGATGTTTTTGTTTGTTTTTTTTTTTGTTTTTTCTATAAAAGCAAAATAAAAAATTCAATTTCTTCGAAAGGATGAGAACAAAGAAACGCACGGAGTTATTTTTTAACTAATTTTTGTGAAAGCGGCACATTTTTTTTTTAAAAGATCGATTTTTGAGTAAATTGTTAAAAAAAAAAAATCTCATCGCTCCTTTTACATTTTGTTTATATTCTTTATATATAAGACGAGATTTAAAAAGACGTGTATGAAATACCATACCACATTGCGGAACCCCCTGTTTAATTTTCCTGGTTTCACCTCGGAATATTACCGATGATTGTCCACCACTCAGGAAGCCCAAGACTTCTGAAACCTCGGCGGTAATGAGGATTCCTCAATGTCAGTGAGTAGCACTGAAAGCTCAAAAGCTTTTGACAGATCCAGTGCTACCAGGACAGTACGCGCGCAGGGTCGGTTTAGGTTAAGGCCATTGACTATCTGGGTGTTTATGGCGTTAAGTGCTGTTGTGGTACTGTGCACTTTTCGGAAGCCATGCTGATGCGCTGCTGGGCGCAGATGGTGAGTGAAAGTCGGGAGCAGTAAGGCCTAGAGTGTCTTCGCTACTGGCGAGAGGAGAGTTATCGGCCGATAGGACTCTCCTTTGTTGGCTGGTTTCCCCGGTTTAAGTAGCGGGACTACCCTACCCATTTTCCACACATCGGGTATCTTCAGGGTGGTCAGAGACAAATTGAGGACCCTCGTGAGAAATTCTGCTCCCGCTGGTCTCAGGTGTTTCAGCATCAGCATGCTTATTCCGTCGGGGCCGATGGATTTGGAGGCTTTCGCCTTCTCGATGACCCCCTGAACCTCCTCCCTGGAGAAATCTAGCACCGCGCTCGTGTTTGGCAGTTTGCGCATACGGCGGGTTACACGTCGTTTCGCTTTGTCTACCGAGGGATGCAGTGTAAAAAGTCGGCTCAAATAGCTCGCGCATCTCTTTGGGTCCGACGAGGCGCGATCATCGAATGAAATTTCCACCGGGTCATCGCGTCTCGTCGGGTTAGACAGCGACTTGACTGTAGCCCAGAGCTTGGTTGCCCCAGAGGAGAGGTGCCAGGTCCTTAGGTGCTCCTCCCACTTTTTCCGCTTGTGGTTGTTGACATCTCTTCGAATCTCTGCGTTTAAATCCCTGTCGGAAAATTTGGGCGGATTTCCGCAATTCGGCCTGCCGGTATGAAGCGGGCGGCAGCGGTAACGACGACCCTGCGGAATAAACGTTCACTAGAGGTGACGTCTGATGGAGTGGGAAGAGCACTAAAGGCGTTCTCAGTAAATTTCGTGAATCTGTTAGATTTATAAAGTTAACAAATGTCCGGTGGTTCGCGGAAACAAAGTCGGGAGGCCTGTCAATTGAGATTTGTATGGGCAAGAAGATCTGATCGGGCGTTCAACTTAGTTTCCTAGATCGCAGCAATTGACAGGTGCTCCCGGCTTATGTAGTCGGCTATCTCGTCAATCTTTCCCTGGAGTCAGTTGTAGTTAAATTGTAAGATTCGGGTCTGTCTCGAAGGAACGTTCGTGATACGGGGGGTGAAGGAGTGATACGTGGATGGTGTTTGTTGCTGCTGTACTACCCGCGAGGGTTGGTTCCGCACGTTGGTGTTAGTTGGCGGAGGGTTTGTCGAAATATGCGGTGGCAGACTCCTACAGCACGTGGCATTATACGCATTGTTCCACTTACGGGTGGTGCGCAGGCCAGAGCACGTTCTAAAGTGACACCAGACAGAACAAAAGTTGTATTTGACTGAGGTCACGTTCCGACGCACTATGGTCTGACACACGGAACAAACAGTGCGGGGACTAGGAGCTGCTGGGTAGCCCTCGCACGGGGGGAAGATGAGGAGCTGGTTGTGGATAGGAATGGGGGTGGAGGTTGGAGGGAATCATGCTGCGGGGAGATCCGTGAGACCGTGGAGGTCTGCTGATTACCCAGAGTGGTTACAGGTGCTGAAGGCACTGCCGTGGAAACTTCACTAAAGGGGAGTATGCATTATTTGGGTTTCCCAAAAAATTAGGCATACAAGAAAGGAATGTAATTTCAGAAAACTAATCCGCAGCCGTTGCTTTGTTGTATGTAAAAATTAGATAAGTATTTTGTAGATAAGCTGGCCTAAACGCCCAAAATATATGAATTTACCCAAGGTATGTGAAGATTTATAACCACATTATATAATATAAAATATGTTCGCTAAACTTAACAGTTTATCGAGGACGGACGGACGGACAGACAGACAGACAGACAGTCAGACAGACAGTCAGACAGACAGACATAGAGACATGGACAGAGACGGACTCAATATTTGAGGTAAATGAAAAGCTTTTTAGCAAAAGTATCGTTAATAACAGACTACGGGCTTGATATATAAATTTTAAAAAAATAACTTTGGGCACTTAGCTTAACCCCTCCGGGTGTGCATCTCGTAGGAGGCGAAAAATCCAAATTTGGGGAATAGTTTGCGGTTACAATAACATCAATATTGACAGTCTAAGACCCGCGCACGGACCAATACCGACAGCTATTTGTACAGTATTTTTGCCTAAAATACCTTTACGCGCATCTAAGTAATATCCATGGACGGTTAATAATTATGGAAAAACGAGGTCAACGTTCATTTTCAAATTGGTGTAGAATTTTTTGAAATATAACCTTTTTGAAAAACATCCCTTTGCCAACACACCCACCCCATTCCAAATCTACAAAAAATATTACTTATTGCCAAAAATTTGTACATCATTGCAACCCAAAGATGGTGAGATACTTAACATTACTACTGCAGTGACATTGCAAATACTTTTGTGTTTAACAGTTTTGTGATTTAACCATATCTTGAGTGCCAAACAACATCCGTTTTACGTCGAACAATATTCTTAGGTTAAACTCCTCTCTGAATTTTCTGAGTTCCACCACGATTTTAAACAAAGATACCCCTCTAACGAATCAACAGCTTCTGGAGGCCATTAGTGCCTAAAGCTACTTCTGCGGTGGCGTACCGAAAAGCCTGCCCGTATACGACTTATATTCTACTTATACCTTAACGGAACGCATTCTGCTCTTTCGCAAAAATAATTTGCATATCAAAATATCCTTACTAATGTTTGGTTTTGTATACATATATAATAAAATAATTATTAGCATAAATAATAAGAACTCACTTTGTCTAAGTACTTGCAGATATTTGGCGTAGGTACTTTTGGAGGAAATACCCATTTATTATTTACTGATGTCATTTCCTTATGGGTGTTAACATTAGACATTACGATTCCACTGGTTCTTACAAATGACACATTTTTGTTGCCCACAAACATATTTAATTTTCAAAGCTCCTTTTTATGAGGAATGTATCAGTATCAAAAAAAAAAAAAAAGATCATACGTAATTTATTGGATTTCTTCCATGGACTGAAGACAGTTCATCGTTACGTAAGCTACTTTAAAAGAGACGTATGGTCTTATTTTTAGCGCAGATAAACATTTGTCATGTATAAATCATATATTTAATGCAGTTATTAAAATTTCATAGTAGCAATACTGGATTAAATAAGACTGTGGATTATTAATGTCAATAAGTACTTCACCAGCAGTGCGAACCAAACAATTCATGAGTGACTAGAAAATTTATCGATTTTCTGCTAGCATTTCTTGCACTTGCACAAACATATAACGCCCATATGGGTATGTGTGTATATTATTAAAATATGTCGAACATATTTCTTCAAAAAAAATCAAGTCCTCAATGCTGTTTCCATAAAATAATTAGTTAAATTATATTTTAGAAGGCACTGAAGATTATTTCTAACTCATTTTGATCGATACACTCTTGGCTAAACTTAACAGATCAGTGATGGGATTTTTGTATACTTACGCCGGGATTCAGTAAGCAGAATTTAGTCTTAAATAGATAATATAGCAAAATTGATCCTATTTGGAATTCACTAAGCAAAACTGAGTCACTACTCTCATAAAAATGTTCCAAATTCGAGATCAGCCATTTAGCTAGTCACCAAAACCAAAACAAACAATTTATTTGCTGTACATATATTATTGTCTTAAGAAATAAAACAAATAAAGAGAAAGTTGCTGTTTTTTTTAATTAATTTTTGAGCAGTCCAACATCAAACGATGATTCAGACAAGATGATTCCTAATCGTATGTATAAATACATACATAAATGTAGCTTTGTAACCGCTGAAGCGAGCTCCTCCCCCAATTAGTGGATTTGCGACTCCGAAAGGTTGATATTTTTTTATGAGGAGGAATTATCTATTGCCGAGGGCGAAATAAATTAAACAATTTAACTGAAATTTTTTTTTTAAATTAATTTTTGTATAACTTTTAAATGTTGATCGTCCATGGATCTTAACGCGGTCATTCCGAATAGCAGTACACTAACCACTCGGCTCCCGTGGACGCATCGTGTTACATTTTTAATAATACCTTCATAGCTGAATAAGGAAGGTACATTCTTCTATAAAACTGTAATCGCCTGATAAACATCTGATATAAGAAAAATTTGACACATTCTTTGAAAAAATTACGTATAATGAGCAGCTATTGTTTGTTAATTAGCAAATGGTAGGAATAGGCTTTTTGCAATAGTTGTTGCCTCAACGGAAGAGAAGAACGATTTGGTCAAAGATGACTTTTATGAGTGCCTCGAGCACTCTTATGAGCACTGACACTTGCACGACGTCAAAATTGTGCTTGGTGACTTCAACGCTAGTATGGGGGAAAGAGATATTTCTGGTTCAACAGTCAGGAAATTCAGCCCCCACAAGGAGATATTTCCTAGTGGATTCAGGATCGACTTCGCCGGGGCCCGAAATACGGTTGTATGCAGTACTACATTCAAAAACAAATCACCGGCTGTTCCATGATCGAAAAACTCAAAATCAGATCAATCATGTTGTGAGAGATGGAAGACATATATATCTTCAGTGTTCTTGACGTACCTACACTCCGAGGACCGAAACTCGCCTCGGACCACTATCTTTTTGCAGCGAAGATACGCAAATGCCTCTATTTATAAAGAACGCCCATGCACAAGCACAAGGAAAGTTCGACGTCGAAAATCGGCAATCGCAACAGACTGCTGAGCGGTTCTCTGTCTGACTTGCACTCCTACTCTCTGAGAGCTCTTGTCGTGGCTAAAAACGAAACTATTAGACTTTGTAAAATTGGCAGAAACAGCGGGTACGGTGTGGGCTGTGGTGTCGCAGTGTAGAGAAAGCATCACCTGACGGCCAACATTGCGGCGGAGAGCTAACAAGGTGCGTGCACCAGCTACTTTGCAGCACATAGTCGATGCAAGGCATGCCCGACGATTGGAATTTGAGTGTGCTCAGCCCAATTCACAAAAAGGGCACGTCGGAGTCTGCGCCAATTACTACAGCACGAATAGGAATTGTCTTTACGCCGCTATATCTAAATTTGGTATCCCCGCAAAACGTACACGGCTGTGTAGACTGACTTTAAAGAATACTAAGAGCTCCGTCAGAATCGAGAACGCCCTCTCCGAGCAGTTCGATTACATTCGATGTCATCAAACAAACAGTCACTGCAGTCGCGACTCGTCGATAACTTTGTAGTTGTAGATAACTTCGTCTATCTTGGAACCAACAACAAAGTCAGCCCCGAAATGCAACGCATGCCATCGACTAACGAAAACTGAACTATACAAGTCGCTTATCGTTCCCGTCCTGCTGTATGGTATGGAGGCATGGATAATGGCAACAATTTAATTTAAGTTAAATCCGCAAAAAATTGCGTTGTGAATACAATCAAAACTTCATGACAGCTGGTAAATAAATTTTTCTATACGATATGGTTAAGTAATTTTTAAGATTGGTTTTTTGACGTTTGTCTCTTCTTATTTTTTTTCCTATGCCGCTTTATTTACACTTACAATTTTTCGTTCACTTGGCGGTTTTTAACATTTCTAAAACAGAAACACTATGTTTGCGTAATGGAAGACGCAGCATTCATTTATCTACTTCTTTTAAATATTTTTACATTTCATTAAATATCCACTCTGCCCATTTCAAAGTGTAATCGAACTAGATACCTTATCCTTTTCACAATCATCAAAATCAATCTCAGCGGCTTCTTGAATACTTATAATATCTCTTACATACATTCCACTTTATCTGCAAATTCCATTATCTGGAATATTTAATAATAATTAGATAAATATACGCATATACAGTATGCACATATGAATACAAAAAAATATTGTGGTAAAAACTCAAATTTCACTTTTCAAATTTACGGCATATATTCATTTGAAATTTAAGACAACTACAATGAATTCAAAATGAGTGCTTCATCGGCAAAAAGTATTCTCGTGTAAACTCGGACTAATGCGCTCGAACTTCTACTTAATTCAAATAAGTCATTATGGATAGCAATATCGTGCAACACTCTACAAGTAACTTATAAAATGTGAAGTTGTCACATCATGTGATTACTTGTTCTTTCTTCTATTTAAAAAAACTGCAATAAAAAAATACATTGAATGATTTTCGTTATTGACTTTGCGACACCTTAATTACACAAACAAAATACATAGGCTTTTTGTTTTTGTATTCTTGCTACTACCGTTTGTGCATTTGCCTTGACAGGCAACTCCAATGTTCTCACTCCTGCGTAGTGAAACTTTTAAGCCAAGGGATAGTTCTTGAAAACGGCGGTTTCATACTCCCTGCAATATAGTACAGATTTGAGATTCACTGTTAAGCCATACAGCGCGAGGTTTGGGATGTAAAAGATGACACATCATGTAGTCGCTGACCACCGGAGAAGTCACTAAATTCGTTTTGCTCAAACCATTGGTTCATAAAAGGAAATTGCGAATTGAAAATTGCGAAATTTCCCCAAATTTTATTGCGCGCAAAACTTCAGTTTAAAAGTTATAGAGATTTTACGTTACGCTTTTTATATGTCGTTGCCAATCCGTAAAATAATCTATAAACATTAATAATAAATATTCAAGCAAAGTAAAATTAGAATTTCACATAAAAGAGTCTCACTTAAGAGTACTGTGCAAGGCGAAGTCAGTATTAGTTCGTTCAGGGTTGCTATCTAAATCGTGGCCGAAGGCCGCCAACTTACAAATGGGTTTCACTTAAGAATGCTGTGCAGTGCGAAGCCGGTGTTAGCCCGACTCACGGTTATTATACCCCAATTACAAAGGTTACTTTTAATTTATACCTTATTAAATAAAAATTGCGTAAGTATTTTACGGCTTCTGGGTGCATTAAACGACAATAATTAGTTCCATTAATGGGACCGTATTCTTTGTTTCAAAGACTTAAGGCACATATATTCTATATATTAATTAATCAGGTCCGTGAAATCATGATCATCGTCATTATGATAATAGTTATCTATGTAAGAGAATCGTTTCACGCCACGACATTTGGATTTTATTCCTTGGGTGTGCGTCACATACTCTGTAACGAAAGGATTGTCAAAGTTGCTGTGGTTGACCCATTTGGTAGGGCTTCATACGTCCTCCAATAATCTGTACAGATTATTGAGCCCTCCGCTACGTGCTGCTTTATAAGTGGTATGAGCACCTCCCCTGACCTAATATTTTCAGGACTTTCCTTCAAACGTAAGTCGTCCTGCCCGTCCTCGATCACACCTAAGACCCAGTGCCCTTCAACCCTTCGACATAAAAAGTAGGATTTAAAGAAAAATATTTATTAAGACAATTAGGAACCTAAAAAATTTTGAACTCACCTCTATTTTATGTTCTTTTAACGAATTTACTCTCGTCGATCTGTAAAATTTTCCCTGGCCCACCAATCTTCGCGACTACTTCTTGATGATCCAACTGGTACAACTACTGCCGAGAGACATCAGCGTTGAAGATTGTTGAAGGTATGGGTGTCGGGAAAATAAACCAATAGCAGTCGAAGATCATAGCACTCAGTCTGCCTGGGATTGGCTGTAAAAACTCTCCCCAATTTTGAATAAACCGCGACATGCATCAATCGGTGTGCCTTGCTTGCGAGGTATTCATTTTTTTGTTGGAGCCCATGTGAAATAGCAAGGTACTGCTGAATAGAACAATGTTCGTGCAAAAGCGCCAAAATCATAAAAATTAAACAATTTAAAAAATTCGGTGAATGTAGTTTTTGGAGGATTTCTCGCCCGATCAATAGCTGTTTCGCTCGTGAAATATACGCGCTGGCTACTTTCAAGCAAGTTTGGATTTTAAATCTTTGTAAACCGGTCAGCCTTTTGTTCAAGGCGCACTTGCTAAAATGGCGAAGAACACCACATGCTTCGTAGACGTTACGTAAAGTGTAATCGGATTTTGTGTGACTGTTTGTGCATGGTGAGGGGGTTTTTTCGCTTGAATGCTTCATCCACTGTGATCCTTCCGTATAAGAAAGGTATTTTAAACCGTAAACTGGATGCGTTTCGTTCCTCTTAAGCTGAGCTGAGCTTCGCGTACATAGGCACTTTGTTTCTGTTAATTATATTAACGTCCCCCCTAATTTCAAACCCTCGATCCTCTGGAGCTTCTTTTATATCATCCGAGTCAACAGTGGCGTCAACTACTGTAATGGCTTACGGGTTCTTGGCATGGTGTGTCGAACCTTTTGTACCGGAAAGAATGTATGGATTGTAATTAGGTAATAATCGGCCTTGCCTTTCTACCTGTGATAAGATATTCTTAATATGGTATCTTTGTACGTTTATAACGTTTATTGATGCATAGCGTTCGGAAGAATTTACTCTTTATCGGTTTAAAGTTAGCTGTGGTTAAGGTGGGGCTATCTACTCTCAAGCTTGCAATTTCCTGTGAGGTCGAGTCGATGGCATTTTTCCATGATTCCAGTATGATGTGGTATTTTTTGAATTTGGGCTGAACTATCGACGTACTTGTTGAGTTGTTCGAATTGATTATCTATTTTTCAGCACTCTGAAATTGCACAAGGTTACTGATTGTTCCTTCTGTATATCAGGGGCTGCAGTAATTCCCCAATTTTTTCGCACTAGGTGAGTATTTTTCGGTTTTAAAAGAGCCTACGACAACTTGAAAGTAGCACAACACATCGCAAACTTACTTGACGTTGTAAACTGAAATTTCACAATACCAAGAGGTGGCCTCGATAACCGAGTGGTTAGCATGGCGTACAGCCATTCGGAGGGCTCGGGCTCAAATCTCCGTGCGACCAACATCCAAAAGTTATAGAAAATTAATTTAAATAAAAAATTATCAGGTGTACTACTTTGCTTCCGCCGTTTTCCGATAGGTGTCTGTACCGGCTGAGGCTAGTTGAAATACATAGAAGATAATGCCTTTAAAGTGAGTGTGGACAGTGCCTAATGAACTGCCATCACCGATTCAGTGACAGTTGTTCTTGTTTTTGTATTATTCACGCTCGAAAATGTCCGTTTATGTGCCTTATTCTCGCCATTTGCGGGAAGTTTTACTTTTCTGTTGCAATTCGAAAAAAATGCAACAGAATCGCATTGAATGCTCTCAGAAACTTATGGTGATGTTGCTCTGAGTGAAAGAACGTGTCGGGAGTGGTTTCAACGTTTTAAAAATGGCGATTTCGATGTCGAGGACAAACATGGTGGTGGAATAGAAAAAACCTTCAAAGATGAACAACTAGAAGCATTGATTTACTACGAGCTCTTAAAACTGGGTGAAACCATCATAGGAGATCGCTACCGAACGCAACTGATGCGCCTTAGTCGCGCGCTAAAAGAAAAGCGGCCACAATATCAAGAGCGACATGACAAAGTCATCCGCCAACACGACAATGTTCGGCCTCACGTCGCAAAAGTGGTCAAAAAGTACCTGGAAACGCTGAAATGGGAAGTCTTGCCCCACCCGCCGTATTCCCCTATTCCGTTCGATGGCACTTGGCCTGGCAGATCAAGATTTTCAATCCTTCGAAGAATTGGAAAAATGGATTGCTTCATGGATAGCGTCAAAAGAGGACTCCTTTTTCCGAGCCGGGATCCGAAAATTGCCGGAAAGATGGGAGAAAGTTGTCGCTAGCGAAGGACAATACTTTGAATAATATATCTGTAAGCACTTTTTCGCAATAAAGCTTTTAATTTTGGAAAAAAAACGGCAGAAGCAAAGTTGTACACCTGATAAGTAAAATTTGCCAGTTGCGGTGGCCCCTTGGCAGGGAATGTCGATCCCTCCGAGTGTGTTTGTGACATGAAATAAAGTGGCTTATAATAGACTGGAGGGTTGACCACTTGATGAATCACTCTACAAATTGGAGCTCGGCTGAAAGACGCCTGAAAGGTTACAAAGGGCGAAAAACAAACTTTCTCTCTTCTCCATTCACGAATTTAAAGGTCACCCCGAGGTTACTCATTGCATGGTTGAATATGAAATTGCCCTATCAAATGTACAAATTCCACTGAGCCTGGTTCATTTAAGTATCGAACTAAACCTTTTAATATGGAGAGAGTGATTGTTTAATCGCTTTGTATACGCAAAGCCAAGTTTACATTCTATTTAACAGTAATTCAAGCAATAAAGAAAATTTATTTCTAGATCACTTAGATTTATAATTCACTTTTATTTCATCTACGACAATTATGTTGTATCATTTTATTTATAAAACAGTATTTTTTGCTATCAATTCAAATTCAAATGGAATTGAAATTTTGTATTATGATTATTTCACTACTACTTTGCAAAACCGTTGGTGTAATTGACAAAGGTTTAAAGCCTCCAGGTTTTTCGATTCCTCTGCCAGCGGATGCTGTACCGGTAATTAGTGCTGTGCTGTTGGATTGTCCACAGAAACTTAAGAATCAAAGTGAAAGCCAATTAATGGTAAACATTCGCGTAAATCCAAGTTTCCATGTAGAGAAAGTGGAAAAATTTCTTATTCTTGACGAGCTTTACGATATAAAAAGTCGATCCCAAGCTAAGATCATGTCACCTTATTTGATAGAAATTCGCAGGGGTGAGCCAGTAATGATGTATCCTCTGGAATTTTCTAGGGTAAAATTAAAGTGAAGTTTTCTCTTATTCGAAGAAAATAAAACTAATATTTTCAGTCTTTAAAAATGAATGATCAGAACTCTATGCCTATGAAGGACGATGTTTCAAATGTAGACAAAAATGTTTCAGCCAACAAGGAACCAGTAAAAGGACATCAATTGGAGGAATTGAAACAAGGTTTGTACATACATATGTATATAGATATCTATTCATGTATAATATTCTGATCTTTGAATTTTACTAAAAATCAAATATATTTTATTTTTTTTTATATATGTATGTCTTTTATATTATCATTTTATCCCAGTTTCCAAGGCCAATTTTTCATGTCTATTATTCATCATAAGAAATATGATAATTTATTAATATATTTTATTCCATGATACATAATTTAAAGGTAGTTTCATTCTCTCTCTGCAGTCGGCTTCATAGCTATCTTACATTAAACGTGTTTTGACTACGCTACGCTACCCTCTTCTCATAAAAAATCTACTATTTTTAAATAAAAAAATATGCGGAGATTTTTTATATTTTTTAAATGTTGAGACATTTAAAAATCACTTATTATTTTGTATTTTACAACTTCAGTAAATTTATGGGAAAGTATCAGAAAGGGAAGAGATTCGCCCACCAAAAATTTAAATCGAATTCACAAAGATGAGGAACTGGCTGGATTTGCTATACGAGGTGTGTTAAAAAAATATCGCGAATTTTGTGCTTTTTCAAAAATTATTTATTTATTCATGAATATCTATTTTGTCCCCTTCAAAGTAATCCCCATGAGATATTATGCACTTGTGCCAACTGTTTTTCCAATCTTCGAAGCACTTCGAAAATTTTTTTATTTTTTTTATCTTGTTCAGCTCCCTCCTTCGATGCCGTTCTTATCTCGTCAATTGTAGCGTAACGTCGTCCTTTCATAAGCCTCTTCAGTTTAAGGAAGAAGAAAAAATCACAGGGGGCCAGATCTGGGGAATACGGTGGCTGCGGCATCATTAGTGTGATGTTTTTGGCCAAAAAGTCGCGCACAAGCAACGATATGTGAGCAGAGGGGTTATCGTGGTGCAAAAGCCAATTTTTGTTCTTCCACAAATCCGGGCGTTTCTGGCGGGTTGCTTTGCGCAAATTGCGCATAACTTGCAGGTAATATTCCTTATTGACCGTTCTACCCTGTGGCAAGAACTCATGATGCACCACGCCCCTGCAATTAATTTTTTCGTCTGTTGTTGAAGTGCTCGGGCGTCCGGCACGCTCTTCGTCGTTCACATCTTCTCGGCCTTCTGAGAACATTTTGTACTACCGATAAACTTTGCTTCCGGCCAAGGTAGCTTCTCCGTATGCCACAGTCAACATTCGGAGTGCATCCGCGCACTTAATTTCGATTTTCACACACAATTTGATGCAGGTTCTCTGATCCATTTTTTTGAATAGGTAAAAATCGAAGACCATCCAAAACACGTGCAAGCAAAGCAGCTGCCAACAATTAAGTGAACATTCAAAATGGCCGAGCTTGTCGGCATAAGTGACAGGTATGAGTACCAACATAACGCCACAAAAAAATCGAAATTCGATTATATGCAACCCGCGAAAATTCAAAATTCGCGATACTTTTTGAACACACCTCGTATGTGGGACATTGTTGAGCTTGGCTTTAGTGTGAAAGTGGTGTGTTTTCACTTATTTTCATTACCTTTTCTTCGCCATTTTGTTAGCCATTCTTTAATTAGCTCAAGTTATTGCTCTAACACTTTTGTGGCTGTAATGGGGCATTTGTGCTGGTTTATCATAGTAATATCATCGGTATCATATCTTACTTTGTCACTCGTAGGAAAATCTGCGGCGAATAGTCGGTACAATATTGTCCAAAGAACACTACTTTGAGGAACACCTGCCGGGATTGGACACTCTCTTGTTATTTTATGGGTTCTCTATGGAGAAGTTCGAATAGCAATGGTCCGCCTGAAGTACAACAGGGTGGCGTTGAACGATTGATTTCCAGCCAAGCTATTCAAATATTGGAGCGAAGAACTGAGTCGGACGAAAGCATGCCCTACTATTGGAACATAAATGTGCTCTGTCCAGTCTACGAAAAAGGGCACCCCAAACTCTGACCATTTGCTAACTATCTGTCAAATTATAAAAGATCAAAACATTATATCTCATCGTCAGTTTTAAAACAGCAAGGAATGTCTTCTATGCCGTTTTGTCTGAATTTTGTATCCTCGGCTGTGTGAATTGACGTTGGCAACACCAAAACCTCCGTCAGGGCCAAGCAAGACATCTCCGAATCGTTTGATACCGAACGAGGTTTAGACAAGATTATTCCTTACCCTGTGACTTCTTTAATTTATTGCTGGAGAAAGCAATACGAGCTACAAAGCTGAATAGAAAATGTACAAACTTCTATAAAATGGTACAACTTCCGGCGTCAACAAGACGAAATATCTCCTGTCATCTAGTGATTAGTTGGCGTTTGGGCTTTTCGAGAGCTTTCAGCCAATGGAAAGAGGAGTCGCACAAGATATACGAAAACGTCTACATAGTTAAGCGAATCAAGAGAGAGAGCGGCTGCGATGGGTCATGAGGTCCGGATGGATAAAGATAAAACTACTCCAGCTTTAAACCTTTTCGATGCACACCAGATGGATGATGGGGCTGCATTTGGTATTGGCTTAAGTTTTGTATGTCACTACGATTACAACCTACTTGCTGATTTCACGACTGTGGTCCAAACTACGAAAACATATATTGGAAATTCATCATTCTTAGTGAATGTCCAAAGCCATATAGCTCGACCTCTTGACAATAAATGGTCATATTTGAATGAATCTATGCATATCTGTAATTTTATTTTTGCTTTAAGACCCATTTTTATAAAACCTAAAGGAATCAATGCTCTTCAGATTTATATAACCTCCAAGACAGGCATGTACTAGTACATGGTTCTAATCTACCCAAACTCGAAAGCTCGGAACATATTTTCTTATGGCAAAGAAGGATTCCGCTCATTGCAAATAATTGCAGTGAATTAGTTGAACACAACATTGAGTTACTTGCGAAAAACTGAGTACTTCATACTCAATAAATTAATCTCGGATAATTAAGTGTTGAGACTGATTATATTGCCGCGATTGTGGTAACCATGCGACCTTCTCCCAGCATCCTTCTCCTCTCCGTTGATGTATTTTCCATCGCTCTAGCTTGTTTAGTTCGCCTGCTGTATAGTGTTGAGTAAATCTGTATTCGTGGTGCTCGTCACGAAAGTAGAAAAAGGCAATCAAGGGCAACTGCAGTTTTAAACTCTGGGGTAGTTGCAATCGCCGGGCTATACTCAATTCCTAATATTGCATCGACGTAGTGCACCCTGGAAGAACATTTCGTGATCGCCAAAGGGAGGAAGCTTCAATGGATTCACTCCGGAATATTCAATAAAAAAAATTGAATCATACGCCTAGCGACGCCGAGTACTGGAGTTTCTTAGCACTGATAAATTATACTTTCATTGATGCCCCTTATGAAGAGAACACTTCTTCAGACTTCTGATTGACAGTGAAAACGACGAGCCCGATTCACCAATTGATGATATTGGAACAGATGTTTCGTTGACCAATCATGAAGAAGTTCACTTAGCCGTCGCCGGCTTGGAAAACAACAAAACCTAACCTCATGGATTACCGGCCGAGCATTTCAAATACGGTGGCGAAGAGAAAGCAGGTTCGGTAATTGAATGCTAAGCATGAGGATATATATCGCAAAAAGAGTTTTATGGAGCGTAGTGTATGAACTATCGGTGGGCAATAAACTGGTTGAATCTCTTCAGTGCGGCTTTAGACCCTTAGACCAATTCTTGGAAAAGACCCATGAAAAGAGGATTGACAGACATTTACTCTTCGTCTGCAGCTTGAAAGATAAAATTCCTCTACGCCGCTATAACTGAATTTGTTATCCCCGAAAAATTTATACGGCTGCATAAACACCAAATGTTCCATCAGGATTGGAAAGGACCGTACGGGGTCTAGGACAAGGAGACTGCATATTCTTTGATTTCTTTAATTTTTTGGTATAGAAAGTAATATGAGCTGCAGAGCTGAATAGAGAACGTACATTCTTCCATAAGAGCATATAGTTGCTGGCTTACGCCTGGGATCATCATTGGCCTCAACAAGTCCGCCTCAAGTTCTACTTTCTCCAGTCTTAATAAGGAAGTAAGGCATGTGGTAGCGAGCGTGGGAAAGGCGAAATATTATCCTGTTATCAAAAACATTCAATGCATTCGCCACTCGGCTTCCACTCCAGTTTTTTGGACTGGAATAATATTTTTAAGTTCAAACACAGAATCGCTAAGATTTCCGAAATGATTGTCAATTCCAAAAAGGAAAGATTCCATAAAACACTAAAAATAAACAGTTGCAAAAAACAGTGCATCGTGGCGTAGAATGGTTCGGTGACAAAAGATCATCATCTGTAACGGTATTTGGTTGGAAGTGCTGTGCAAAACAAGTTGCCGTTTTTTTATAGACCCTCAAGAGGATTTTAGATTAGACCCACTGGTTTCACATGACGTCAGTCACACAGTTGGATTATATCACATATTACATTATACATACAGGCCTATTCTGTCGGGAAAACAAAATTTACCTAGGTATTAAAATTTACCGTTCAGTAAATTTTGTTACCATTTCGTATTCTGAGCTCACTGTTACCCTGTAAATTTTGTCACCGGCGAAATAGGAGGTAACAAAAATATCTGCTGTTTGATTTTATGTTTTTAGTTTCATTGAAGATGAAGAAGAAAGTGCAAAAAGCTGTATTTTAAGAAGTTTTCGGGACTAAAAAATAGCTCTTAAATTTGTAAGATTACGTTTTCATTCAGCTTTTTTTGTTGTCCAGGCATATTTTCCATAATTAAGTTCAAATATTAATGATTTAATAAACAAATTAATAAAACTTTTTAATTTTTTTGTGCAACGTCTTCCATTTCGATGTGAATATTTTTCTTTTTACTTTGTCAACTGGCAAATGTAATTTGATAAGGACGAAAAAAGCACTGCTGCCAAATTTTTTTCAAATATTGTAACCAGTTCGCCAGAATACCAAATTCGATTTCGAGTGTTAAAGAAAAGTAACAAAATTTACATTACCGGTAACAGTGAGAATGGGCCTGATAGACAATTTTTCAAAATTATTGTTGAATAAGAAACTATTTCGTTTCTTTGTACATACATATATAACGTTAACTCATTTTTTTCAGTATTTACAAAGATAGTTAATGCTGTGTCTCCCTCAAAACCAACTAATAACAATAAGGATGAGAGCGTAGAAGTCGTTAATGTTTCAAAAAATCTTCAGGGTCCGAAAGTGATCGCAGGTATAGATCACAAGGATAGTTTGATTACAACACCAAAACATAACCACTTAGCAAAAACTTCGAGCATCAAACGTAATATAAAACCTAAATTTGGAAGATTATCCAGTAAAGATTATAATTTGGCCAATACGTTTTTGAAAGGCAATGCAAACTTGATGAGTTCATCGCCGCCGTTTTCAACTGTTGCCGTCGATATGCGGTTTATGAATCAATTAGCAAATGTTGCGGAAATGAAAAAGAAACTTGGCGATAATAGTGATTTAGACGTTGCCCCACCACGAACGATTTACACACGGAGAGATGGGGTTAAAAGAAGACGCCATTTGGAATCAAACCCAAATGATAGGAGTGACAGCTACACATATACATTTTCAAATGTAAGTACATTTCTTGAAATATAAAATAGTATAAAATACGCAGTTACAGGAAGAAATCGAAATTTTGTTAAGGCCAAAAGCCAAATTTTTATATACGAGTACATCTCCCTGCAGGGGAAACCCAACTAGTATGTAAAAATTGTAGTTAAAAACTAGTATGTTGAAGATGAAATCATACCAGTTCGTTATTTGCGATTAAGTACACCAGTAGCGGGAGAAATAAAAATTTTCCACCACTGTTTGTTGTTGTTATATCGGCAGACCGCGGCTGAATTCCATTCTCTGCTCTGTTCTATTTAAGTGCGCAAAATAACATTGATCATTGCATCGTCATAATAGCCGAGTCGTTAGAGTTTATATCTGTAGTGTGTTAAGCCCCCGATTCGAGTCCCGCTAGAGGCAAATTTTTTTTCAAGTTTTTTTTTTAATTATTGGTTTAACAGAATTTTTTAATTTTAATTCTTTTTTAATTTTTGGTGAAACAGAAATTTCCACTTCCCCGTCATTCGTAAGTTGTTTTTGTTTTTCTAAAGTTCTGTTCAAGTGCCCAGATTTCATTTCTCCATATGTCATAACGATAGTCTGGTGGTTAGAGGTCTTCCTGTGGTGCTTGAGGGTCTCGGCTCGATTCTCGCAGTCGGCGAAGCGAATTTCATTTGGTTTAGTTTTTTGTTTTTGGTGAAGTAGAAATTCAACATGCCTAAATGAACTAGTATTCAACTAGTATGAAGCTAATGCATAGAAGGACAATTGTCAGCTCGTAGAACATCGCTGTGTAAAAATACCAGTTGCTTACATGGAAAATGGATGAAGATGAACTAGTTGGTGTAAAAATGTATACTAGTTGAATTCTAGTTGACAACTAGTATTTTCCCCTGCAGTGATGTATTTGTATGTAATGCATATGTATGTATAGATATGTATATATATATCAAGAAGATAAATTTTGTGTTTTTGTGTTCTAAATATACATTCATTTTCACTTTCAGAATTATGATATTCCAAGCAAACGGTCAAAACGAAAAAGAAGTAAACAAAACCATATAAAAAATATTCGAACAGAATTTAAAATTAAAGGAAATGATTGGCTTCGAAAACAATTGAGAAGACAAGCGGACTGCAATAAAAATAATAAATGCTTCAACGAATTTATTGGGTAAGTCGAAAAAAATACAGTATTCTTTAGTTGAGGCTGTTTTGGTTAAGACAGCTGAAGTTTTTCGAGAAATAATCGCAAGACCGTCCTCAATTTAATTTAAATGGCCTTCAATAATAAATTATAATTACATTCATATATATACATATGTATGTATATACTTTTGTACATAATATTTTAACTTATAGCAAGAATACATACTGTGCTTTACTCTAACGGGACCCTTATCTATTTTGCCAAAAGCTCCTGATTATTATCTTGTCACTACTCATTAACTTCTTTTTCTCTATTACTATGAAAATCATCTGTCGCTGCCTTTTATTTATAGAGCTATTATCCTTTTGGCAACACTGGTTTAAACAGCTGACGCACGTTTCGTAATTTGTATCACTGTCAAACATCTTTAGTTTGGTCTAAAATTTAACCTCTGTTGAGAAAGTTCATCGCGCGCTTCGAAGCGCTTTGTTGGCTTAATGGGTGCGTAAATAAGCAGAATTGTCGATTTTGGAAGCTTTGCAAGAGCTAGCAATGCATTCAGAAAAAATCACATTTGGTACAGTTTATGGGCTGGTGGCATCATCGTACTTCTTCAAAGATGATGCGAATCGTATCGTAATTGTGAATGTTGAGCGCTACCGTGAGATGATATCAAACTTTTTTTTTACACAAAATGCAGGAGCTTGACTTGCATAACATGTGGTTTCTACAAGACGGTACCACGGACCACACAGCGCGCTTAACAATGGACTTATTGAGAGATGAGTTCGGTGAACATTTTATTTCACGTTCGGGAGCGGTCAATTGGCGGCCTAGATCGTGCGATTTAACGCCTTTAGACTATTTTTTGTGGGGCTATGTTGAATCAAATATCTTTACAGACAAGCCCGCTTCAATTGATGCATTGCGGATGGACCATTTGAGGCGCAGCCACGGTCAACATTTGCATAAAATAATCTTCAAACAATAAATTATATGGACCGTACCAACAATTCAAAAAAAGATTTCACGCATTATTCTAAATTTTTATGTGTTATTTTTGCAACTTCTATGATAATGTTGTGCGAAATGACATTAATTTCTCCTAAAAACTTCTTCTGTTGCGAAAAACGAAATGCTGCGACTAACTAAAAACATTGCGACTCAGATGTCATAACTCATCTTAAGAGAATACCATGTAAATGAAAAGCTACCGATGCTGAACTAACGTTTGTTCCATGGAAACCAGTGGTGGTTTAACTTTTTTCGTAAAACTGACTCAGTTGAATGCTGGATCTTATACACCGTTGCCAGTATTGACTATGAAAACTGAATTCGTAATTCGGCGTTCTGATGCTTTATCGTAAGACCTCTGTTATAACGTTTCCCTGTTACGTTTAAGCCATTCAGTTTTCTCAGAAGAATTGATACCTGACGTACTTTATAAGGTGTGTAAGTATGAAACTGGAATTTTTGTACAAAAAAACCCGTTTGTTGTAATGATTTTTTACAAAGTAAATTATTATTTATTGTCCGTTGCTATCTAGACATTTTTCCCATCTTTATGACAATTTGTGGATTTCGCGAAAAGAAAAGGTTTCTCTTTTGAGGCAAACCAGTCATCGAGCCATTTTTGTACATCTTCTTCAGAAGTAAAGCGCTGCTCAGCAAGTGCGAGTCCCATAGATGCAAACAAGCAGTAATCGGATGGGACGAGGTCCGGTGAGTAAGCCGCGTGCTGACGAATTTCCTCTTGGAACAACTCTATCGTATCCTGGACCTGTTTTGCTATGGGCGCTGGTGCATTGTCATGCAGCAAAATCATCTTGTGTTGTCTTTGTTGGTATTCTGGTCGTATTTCACTCAAAACTCGATCCAAATTGGTCATTTGTTGCCGATAGCGTTGAGTATTGACAGTTTCGCCAGGTTTCAGCAGCTCGTAGTAGATTACACCCTTCTGATCCAACCAAACACACAGCATTGTCTTTCGTCCGTAGTGGTTTTGCCTTGCCGTCGATGTTGATGGTCCACCCGGAGTAATCCATGACATTTTGCATTTAGTTTTCCCGAAATATATCCATTTTTCATCGCCAGTCTCAATTCGATGCGATTAGGCTACTGTCCGCAAATCGTAATTTGCTCGTCATGTTTATCTCTAATAAACTAATGCTACTGAAACTCGTTCTATTGTGAGTTGGAAATCTTTGTCGGATATCAATACAATAACAAAAAGCCGCTGACGTGATGTGTTGGTAACTGCATCGGACATCTACGCAACCTCTAGGCTAATTCCGGTTTCATACTTACACACCTGGTAAGTTTTTTAAGTCGAAGTACATTTTTAATGCTCTGCGAAAGGCCAATGACCCGATATGTTGGCTATAGGTAGGTATATATATATACTTTACATTGTTAGTGTTTTTAAATAATATGTAAAATAATCCAAGGAAATTTACACGTATATGTATAAGCTAATAATTTTGGAAAATTTCGAACAAATATCAAATGGATATTTTCGCAGATGTGGATTAAAACAGAAGCTGACAAAAAAAAAAGATTGTGGCAACCGGCCTTTCCTAGGAAATAAACCGAACCGAAAATGAAGAGAAGGGGTGTGCGCTTACCCGTTGATCCTTCAGGGCAAGCAAGAAGAAACAAACAGCCTTCTTCGCCAATCTTTCAAGACCGGCGCATACATATGTAAGGACCAATGTGGACATCTGGTAACTGGTATCTAGATCATACATGGTGTATGGATAGAACTCTTCTCCATCCTGCTGAATGGCACCGAAATTGTAACATCCGTAGATGGCGAACCCGAAACCCCAACCAATAATGATGGAAAAGACGTTCCATTACTCGACAATAACGAGGTCCGATTATCGTTTAAAAACAACAAAACCGCTGGAGTAGATATCTTACCAGCTGAGCTATTTAAGAACGCAGGTGAAAAATTGGTTCATGCATCAGATTGTTTGTTAAATATGGTCGGATGAAAATATGTTCGACGATTGGAATTTAAGCGTGCTCAATCCAAAAAAAGCGTTACTTCACACTCCGTCCATTTACCGTGGGATAAGACTCCTTAATGTCGCATATAAGGTTCTATCGAGCGTATTGTGTGAAAGACTGAAGATAACCTTCAATAATCCGATTGGACCTTAAAAATGTGTCTTTAGACGTGGGAAATCATTCATTTGAAGAACTTCTGCAGCACGAAAAGGAGTTACCTCTACACCGCTTTGTCTGAATTCGTTATACCCGTAAAACTTATTCGGCTGTATAAACTCGCGTTAAGCAACATCAAAAGCTCCGTCAGGATCGGGAAGGACCCCTCCGAGTCGCTCGACACCAAACTAGGTTTCAGACAGTGTGATTGTTTATTGTGTGACTTCTTTAATTTATTGCTGGAGAAAGTAACTTTGACGTTGTAACTTGGCCTAAGTAGGCAATTAAAAAGTCCAATCTCGACAAAACAAGACTAAACTCTACTAGTCGCTTATCGCCCTGTTATACGGTGCGGAGACGACGCTTAGTTTCCCCACTACCTTGGGAGCCGCTTCCCTTTCCATATGTGCCCTGACAGAGAGTTTGAAGGCGTTGCAGCAGCAAGGGCGTTGATCTGGATAACTTGCCCTTGTTGCTTCAGCCGGTTGAGTGGATTTCAGGGTGTTGGTGCTGGTCGCCTTTCCCGAATAGCCGATGGAAAATTGGTTTGTGACAAAAGCGATGCGAGAAATTTAAGGCTTATATCGAAATTGTCGACTTGTTCGAAACTTCCTGAGAAAGCAAGCAATAGGAAATTACTTTCTGCTGTTAGGGGTCCTTTCATCTCGCACCAGCATGGTTTTGTTAGCGGTCGTTCTGCTCTCAGAAACCTAGCCTTTCTTTCTCGTTATTGCATTGCATCTTTCAAGAAGGCATACCAAATTGATGTTGTATGTACAGATTTTTCTGAAGTTTTCGATACTGTCCCGTAAAGCAGTTTATTACAAAGGCATGAAGCCGTATATTCCGCAGATTTCAGAAATTTTTCAAAACCAAAACAAAGTAGTTGATCTTTCTAACTAGAAGCTTAACACACCAGAAACGCTCTAGATAGTGACCAAGTTTAGATAACAAAGGAGTTAGGTTAAAAACATCTGAACATGAGGCGCTCCTTTCATTCAGTGGCGTAGTCTTTCTTAGAAAATTTACAAACCCAACTGAAGAACTTCCGCTCTTGACTAATTAACCGTGATTAGAATGATCGATTCCCAGCAAAGCTGGTCAACAAAGCTTATCTGTTTTACATCGCACAGTCAGAGTCGGGTGTCAAATGTCGGTTCGGTTATATTCCAACTTAGCCCTTTCATTTTGCAGCAAACTATTGTAAATAATATTTTTCAGATAATTTATGCATTAAAATTATTTTTAGATCTGAAGAGATTTCGGAAGTTGAGCCAAATTTTGAACATTATATTGACTCAGAGCAAGAAAGAAGTCTGAAGAATCTTCATAGATATTACGAAGGATATTGTAAGTATTATTTTGATTTTAAAGACCAAATTTTGTAAAGCTTTTATAGTTAATTTAAAGAAAACATATTCTTGCAGAAAATCCAATGAATATTATTAAAAAATTCCATACCTAATGATTCCTTAGAAGCCGCTCAAGTTGAGAAAAACTTTGCACAATCATGTCACTCCGTACTACTTTTTCAAGTCAAAAAATCTAGATATTACCGATAGTGAGAACATCGGTGCTTTACAGAGCGCATTATTATATCTCCCTTTTTATATTGTTTTAAGCGAACTAAAGAGTAATTTTATAGTTATTATCTTTTTGGCAACACTGGTTCAAACAGCTGACGCACGTTTCGTGTTTTGCATCACTGTCAGACATCTTCAGTTTGGTCTATAATTTAACCCTGAATCGTCTTACAAACGAACAACGCTTTCAAATTATTGAATTTCATTATAAAAATGCGTGTTCTGTTAAGAAAGTTAAAAAAAAATTGTGTTCAGCGACGAAGCTCATTTTTGGCTTATTGGGTGCGAAAATAAGCTGAATTGTCGATTTTGGAGTGAAGATCAGCCAGAAGCATTGCAAGAGTTACCAATGCATTCAGAAAAAGTCACACTTTGGTACAGTTTATGGGCTGATGACATCATTGGACCGTATTTCTTCGAAGATGTTGCGAATCGTAATGTAACTATGAATGGTGAGCGCTACCGCGAGGTGATATCAAACTTTTTTTTAGCCAAAATGCAAGAGCTTGACTTGCATGACATGTGGTTTCCACAAGACGGTGCCACGAGCCACACAGCGCGCGTAACAATGGACTTATTGAGAGACGAGTTCGGTGAACATTTTATTTCACGTTCGGGAGCGGTCAATTGGCCGCCTAGATCAGTGCGATTGAACGCCTTTAGACTATTTTTGTGGGGCTATGTTAAACCAAATGTCTATACAGACAAGCTCGCTTCAATTGACGCATTGGAGGACAACATTGAAGCATTTATTCGTGAGATACTGGCCGAAATGTTGGAAAGAGCATGCCAAAATTGGACTAGGCGGATTGGATGGATTGAAGCGCAGTCACGTTCAACTTTTGCATGAAATAATCTTCAAACATTAAATTATATGGACCGTACCATCGATTCAAATAAAGGTTTCATGCATTTTTTTTTTAATTTTCTGTCTTTTTTTAAAAAACTTTCTTATAGCTATTAAAAAACCACCTCTATTATGACACTGACAAGTTTAAGAATTGTATACCTTTATTAATAATTATACCAAAATTTATAGAAGGTTACTGATGCCAAGTTGAGGCGGACGGTAATGCCGACGAATTCAGAATATTTGTTTTTTAATCGGAAGGGAATATCAACCCCTATCAAAAGTTTCTCATATAAAGCCATCGGCCGTTCGGAGGCGGCTTAGTGTAAAATGTAGGTCCCTCCATTTTCTTGGAAAAACATCAAGAGGCAAGACCACATATTGCAGGAGATCGACCGAAAGCGCTTCAGCGAATTGGAATTTTTGTTAGGCTTATTATCGTGAAGAAATACAATGGGACTAGAGAAAATTCTTTCCCAAAAATCGATTATTCGTATTTTTTTACGAAATGTACAATGTTGTTTCAAAAAAGTAACTAAAAAACTTTGAAACTCTCTGCTAAACTCCTTGCCACGTTTAATAATGCTAACAAAAGGAGAGAATACTTTAATCTTAATTTATATGGACAAATGCAACTTTGATCGAAACATATGTATGGATTGGAAGCAGATATTAGGTGTACAGCTTTGCTTCCGCCGTTTTTTCCAAAATTAAAAGCTTTATTGCGAAAAAGTGCTTACAGATATATTATTCAAAGTATTGTCCTTCGATAGCGACAACTTTCTCCCATCTTTCCGGCAATGTTCGGATCCCGGCTCGAAAAAGGGAGTCCTCTTTTGACGCTATCCATGAATCAATCTATTTTTCCAATTCTTCGTAGGATTGAAAATGTTTATCTGCCAGGCCGTGTGCCATCGAACGGAATAGGTGGAAGTCAGAAGGGGCGACATCTGGGGAATACGGCGGGTGGGGCAAGACTTCCCAGGTACTTTTTGACCACTTTTGCGATGTGAGGCCGAACATTGTCGTATTGGAGGATGACTTTGTCATGTCGCTCTTGATATTGTGGCCGCTTTTCTTTCAGCGCGCGACTAAGGCGCATCAGTTGCGTATGGTAGCGAACTCCTGTTATGGTTTCACCCGGTTTTAAGACCTCGTAGTAAATCTTTGAAGGTTTTTTCTCTTCCACCACCATGTTTGTCTTCGACATCGAAATCACCATTTTTAGAACGTTAAAACCACTCCCGACACGTTCTTTCGCTCAGAGCAGCATCACCGTAAGTTTCTGAGCGCATTCGATGCGCTTCAGATGCATTTTTTTTTTTCGAATTGTAACAGAAAAGGGAAACTTCCCGGAAATGGCGAGAATTAGTCACATAAACGGACAATTTCGAGCGTGAATAATATGAAAACAAGAACAACTGTCACTTAAACGGCGATGACAATTCGTTAGGCACTGTCCACACTTTCTTTAAAGGCATTATCATCTGTTTTTCAACCAGCCTCAGCCGGTTCAGCCACCTATCGGAAAACGGCGGAAGCAAAGTTGTGCACCTGATAATTGCGGATGGAAAATCGACGTACCTTCTTATGAGTTCAAATGGTTTGAGGGACTATAATTCCAGAAATACATAAAATGCAAGATGTAATGTTGGGCTCAGTGGAACACCGATGTGTCTCTAACGGTGATGGATTTTTAAGTAGTTTCATTTTGATTTAAGTAAGAAATATGTAGATTTTCAAAAGAATAAAGAGTGACATAATTGCAGCAAAATTTTTTATAACTTAAGTGCTTTTTTGCTTAAACTTTTAACAAATTTCTCGCTACTTTCTGTGACTCCGCGGAGAGTGGCACACACTGTTGCATAATCAGCTGACGTCCGATCAGTAGTTAGTTGCTATTTAATTTAATATGGACCGTAATTTGATTGTAAATATTTTTTATCCTCAACAATTTTAATTTTCGAACCTCAAGCTGACGTACAAAACTCGGCTAAACTTCGAAACAGGCAATCTACCAAATATCAACCCAAAAACCAAATTGAGAGAGTTATTCACGATCCCTATCTTAACATTAATGATAAACTTAAATTAATAGAAATAATGGATCCATACGACATGGAGAAAGATTTGAAATTAAAGAAATCATCTCATGAAATTGAAGACACTGTGCTTGTTGAGCCAATTAATTTCGCAGTCCCACTGCCGAAAGAAGAATCATACCTTGAAAAGTCTGAGCAAAACAGAAGTTCTATTTTTCATGACGGCTTAGCAATCAGAAGTCCCCCAAATTATAATGACTACGCATTCAATGAGTATCCACTGTTGGACTTTAAGACCAGAAATGTAGAAGAAGATGTGCGTCCATGTTCTTCATGTGGTGGTAAAAATAAAAAACCCCATGGCAAGACTGACAGCAATGTGATGCCTCGGCATAATGGGTGCAAGTGTAATGAATTTCCTAAAGAATGTGGGTGTGCTTCGAAGAAATTGACTCGTTCAGTTGACGATGCTTGGTAGGCATATATTACATATATAAAATATATAAAGCAATTTTAATAAAACCCAGTTACTTTATCCTAGGTATTCAGTTTACAACATGAGCGCGCCCTTGCCGTTCCTAGCAACTAAGGTGAGGATATTCAGGAAGCGGGGAAACATTTGGTTCAAAATTACACCATCGATAATGTAAGAAGCTAATAATTAGTATTTTATTTATAAATATTTGAAAAATATTTTAATACTCTTACTTGCGAGATATGAAGCAGATACCCATTCATATCAATAAGTAACGTATTAATGCTTCTTTATACCCTTTGTGTTTTCCCTTTATTTCCATCTGGGATTCTCGTGGAAAAAAGATTGTCGAAGCATATACTGGAGGAGGTATAATCCAGCTCCTTCGGTATTTTTACTAAAGATAATATTTTATTTATTTTTTTTAATTTTTCTTATACTCCAGTTATTTCAAAACTGATTTGCATTCAATCTAACTGTGTTGCAGCTCCTTGTAATTTACCGTAGAGGAAGGATATTGAGGAGAGACACATCAATGAAAGTGCTCCTGTTACCAATACAGCAGCCAATCGTTGAACTCTCACTAGTTTGCTATTGAAAGTAATTCCCGGCCACCATACGGTGGACTTGTAGAGTGGGATTGGCCGAACTACCGCTATATAAATCCAGGACACAATATTCGATCTTCGACCCAATCTTTTTCTATCTCCGTAAAATTCAGTTTCAGCTTTCCTTTTTGCCCTGGTCCGGCTCCAGTATCTAAGATTATCTCAAGATATTCGACTTCAGTAAAAAAGGTGACATCCACTCCGTTTGGCATAGCTGGTTTAAAAGGAGGCTTGCACCTCCTGGTAAATAGTACCTGCCCGTTATTCTTGCACCATATCCCTGCTATATATAGGCCGTTTTGAAGCAGATCGCGTAAAGCTTGTAGGTCGCTATCGCTGTTCGGCAATGTGGTCAGCGCATGCTACCATACCACGGCTTGTGCTATTCAATTTTCTAATCAGCGTTTTTGCTGTGAGATACCACAGCGGTGAGAATACAACTCCTCCCTGAGGGGTATCTTTTGTTTTGTGTCTGGTAATATTGAACCTGTCCGTCCGTCTCAGTAAAAATGATCACGATTCTTAGAAGATACTCTTCAAGAATCACTATGCACTTTTAGATAACCATTTCTCGAAGCGCCTCTATTACACACTTAGGAAGAATATTGTTTAAAGGCGCTTCTTAGTCGAGGAAGATACCAAACGAGTACTCCTTCAAGGCAAACCCTTCTTCGATGCACCCGACTAAATCGTCAATAGCCTTGCTCTTGGAGTAAGAGTGTTGCTTCCTCGGGAGGATATGTGGGGGAAGATTAAAGCGCACATAGTTGCCGAGCATGATTTCTAAGTTTTAGAAGTTCGCGCAAGTGAGGAAAGTTTCTGACTAACATTAACCTACGAGTGACCCCTGGTCAGTCAACATCCGTTTGGATGCGAACCAAGGTGAGCAGGCGATCCCAAGCAGTTAAGCGTAAGGTTTGGCGCCCACCACATGAAAAAAAACTCCAAGGAAAAGTTAATCAGCCTCGGACAAGAAACCCCTCTTTTGACGACAATTCCGCTAATGCTTTAACTATCCCGATTTGAGGGCATGCACCTGGAGAGTACAGTCACTCAATTGAGAAAGTGCAGCTGTCCTGCTGGTTGATATCCTCGTAAGAATAAAGGCTGACATCACCGCTATCCAAGAAGTGGAGGGGATAATGACGGAAGCAGGTGGGTAAATGTGAAATATAATGGAGCTCAAATTTGGTGCGGATTTGTGGTGGAAGAGAGACTCTGTTGGCGAGTACTAGTATTAAATCCGCCCTCGCCACGATATCAAAATTATGCTTGGCGATTTCAATGCCAAGGTGCGCAAAGAAGACATCTTCGGCACAACTGTCAGAAAACTCAGCCTCCACGACGAAACATCCCCAAATGAGTTGAGGCTGATCGACTTCGCCGGGCCCGAAATATGGTATTCTGTAGTACTAGATTCCAGCATTGGAAAATTGCGTGATAGCTAAGCACTTGTCTCTGAACTTCGTATGTGTGCCAGGACACAGTAATATACAGGGTAATGAGATGACGAACGAGCTTGTACAGAAGTGCATTTCGCATCCACTTTTGCCATCATGGCAGATATTGGGCAAGCTGCTCTCCACTGGCAAGCTCAATATGCGAGAGTTATTCGTTAAAGACGCTGACTCAAGATGTAGTTTTATAGCATGTAGTGTAACCAGGAAAATATGTGCCAAAAAGGAACAGAAGAAGGTCACCTAACCTTATCCAGCTGAAAAGAAAGGATTTGTCTACAGTTATAGGCCTTCTTACAGGACATATATTTTTGGGCAGGCACGAAAAAAGATTGGGTGTGCCATTTAATGATTTCTGCAGAAGTTGCAAACAGGAAGAAGCACCGGAAACTTTAAGACACTTTCTTTGCGAATGCCCCGCACTTTAGAGGAGTAGGCTGAAGTCTCTACGGGCGGTCACCTTTGAAGACCTGGGCGATATAGCGGGGGGTAAGATGTGGCAACTGCTCATATTTGCTAACTCCACGCACTGACTCGATTAGCGGGTGGGGGTCTTTGGGATCCTTAGTGGTATCACAATGAGCCCGTTTGGGGACTAGGTGTGCTGATGTCCGCCAGTCACTTCAACCAACCTACCATATTATTGATAAAACAAATATAAGATAAAACTATTTTTTTAATTTGTGAGTTCTTAATTCAAGTTTTTGATGACGAAATTGTTGAAGAGCTAAAAGATAGAATTATTACAAATGCATACGAAAGTTCGGGATAAGATGCTTAAGCCCTTTTGCTTAGAGGAGCCTCCTCCTCGCTCCTTGACATTCGCCCATACAGCACTGACCCAACGCGTAGTAAGACAAGCCAGTCAGTGGGACATACTGCGAAATATTGCGAAAACCCTCCGGCCTATGATACATGTAATTAACTCCTCATACTTCCTCAGAGTTTAACAGAAGACTTTGTACTCATACTCTGGAAACCTATGCAATCATTATTAAAAAATCTAGCCAAATCACAGTACCATAGCCAAAAGCTACAAACAACAATTGGAATCATAAATATCCAAATACATAGCATTCATTCACCTCTAATTTCTTCACCCTCCAATTTTTCAACTATTCAAAATATCCCTAACACTTCTCCTTCTGTCTCCTTAATGCTTGCCTTTACTTTTATCTTTCCCCTACAAAGTTCTCTTGATTGACCTACTAACTTTTTTTTTTATATTTCCTCATGATTTTTCTCTTACAATGGAAAATAAGTGGTTGTTTTAACTGCGATATTGAACTTGGGTTATTAATTAAAACCCATAAACCTTCAGTTAGCGTTGCAAAGGAAACTAATCTTCCAAATAATTTCACAGCGCCTACTCCCAAAATTTGTATCGCTTAATGATTTTCCGATAATGGTCGAAACGAGGACGCGAACTCTGGCCTTCAGAATGGCAGTACACAATGACATCCATTCGCCTAGTGCGGCCGCCAAAAAAATCTTGAAGCTTAATACAAAAATGGTTATTCAAACGAGCGAGGAGCTTATGGTTGGGTTATGTGAATCGTACAACTACTTAAGCCATTTTTAAAATTTCAAACAATTTTGAAGAGACTGGATCGGTTACAGATATTGTAAAGCCTTTGGGTCATCGTTTTGATGGTCAAATATCGCTACTGAAAGTGTAGCTGAAGACCCGAATCTCGCTATTTTTTAATAATCTAAAATACTGAGACCTCCTTACAGCACATTATAGCGTATTGCGCACTTGGATCTACATCTATATCCATATAAAGTACAGGTCATACAGTAACTGAACAAACAGCTGACCCACCATGCCATACACACGTCGATTGGGAACTGGGAATTGGGATGGTACGCCTTTTGATCCGGAGGTGTGATTGGACCTTACTCCTTTGAAAATGACAACGTCGAGACTATCACTGCGTTATGATCATGTGATAACCGACTTCTTTTGGTCCGCAATTGAAAAATACGACTGGGACCATGCGAAATACTGCCCAAGCCCTTAAATGGATAGCCCTTTAATGTTAGTATTAAAAACTTATAGCTAAACTCTTTTTTAGTGTTCCCAATCAGGAAAGCGAAAGAGATGCATAACTCGTAACTTACCAATTGTTTTAAAAATTAATTACTACATTTAATTGTTGTTGCAACGTATTTATGAGGAATAGTTGTCGGCATTATTGAAGGAGTAAACGCACAAATTTCATAAAAATCTTTTCAATAAAGCAAAAAGATTGATCGTAGTCCAAATATTTTCGACCCGTCATAACAAAACCTGAGTAAGTCTTATGCCAACACATAAAAATCTAGGACAGCAAAGGGCTATACTGAAAGCTCCGAACCTCAAATATAAAAGGTTACAAAAAACTATCTTTGGAATTGTCTAACAAACAGTGACGCCTCGAACTCACTTTGACCTCAAGCCTAGGGAAGTAAAGAAGATACCGGTGAGTGACGGCAAGAGAAGTACCTGGTTCGATGCCGCACAAGTCACGGTAGTGATTAGAGGGCTGCGCAATATTCTGCTATGTTGCATCCAAATGGAAAGTTGCATGTTCAAAAAGATTATGCGTCTGTCCATCCCTATAGAAAAGAAATGAATGTCATGGCAGAACCTAGCATATTTAACGTGATTATCATATTACTCCAACCTCAATATAATAAAAATCCATGATACAAAAAATTTAAGGTAGTTTCACTTAGAATTTTTAGCCAGAGTTCTTTGATCTAGCCACTTATGTATAGATGTTCTGAGATATTTGTTTAAAGGCGTTTTTCTTAGACGGCAGATGCAAGATATTAAATTGCTAGATGCCTTTATTATAAATAAATTGAAAAGAGCTGACATTTTTTGCTTCTAAGATTTTTTGGCTGTATACGAAACGTCCGTGGTTAGGATTACTGGTCGTAGGTATATGCCAGGGAACTACGTCGTCTACGAGCTGGCCAGAAAGATAACAGATATAATCCTCTGCAATGCATCATAAAGTGGGTAGAAGGATAAGTTGCTTCTCAAATGACTTTTGCTGCAGCTGGAGAGACAAAGATGAGGAGGAATCGGTGAAACATTTGCTCTGCCATTACCTGACTCCCAATGCGGCCCATTATGGTTTTATCGGAAATTTATTCTTCGATTGCCTTGCAGATCTTGTATGTGTAGGCACTTACTCTCCTGAATTTCATGAAAACACATCAACTATTTTGCCATTTCGTAAGGTGAGAGGTATTTCCTGCACAGGACCAACATAGATATTTCAACGGGCCAATAGGTATAAGTGCGCTCGAACAAGATTCCGTGATTAAATTTAAAAGTTTTGGTAAATTTATCTGATATAAACGATCTTTAGCTAAATTTGTGATACTTCATCAAAATTTGCACAGTTGCATTTCGGAATGCGTGACAATGTAGGGTTGCTTTGCAACTGATGTTTTGGAACTCACCCTATATCTGACATTTGATGCACATACTAGTCTTTGTTGATAAGCATATTACAAGTTCTTTCCATAAAATATACTGCGTCAAATCAAGTAAACCGCACTATATTATATATTCGTAGTTAAGAAAACTCGTGGTCGCAATATTTCCTGTGTATCCATTTCACAGCAAAGTGGAAACTATAAGACCCTGAATTTGAATCTTTTGGAAACTCATTAGAATAATATTTTTTTTATTTCTTTTATAGTCTGAACAGCTTATCTGGAATCTTTGCAAATGCGAATCTTTCAATTTTGTTTTCATCCCATGTCGACGTAATTCAGTTGGAGAAAGGTCTACAAATTCACAATCACCAACTCCTCATTCCGAAGAATGTTGGGGATACATTTAAAAGTGAAATATTACGTTCAGATTTAATAAAATCTTCATCAGATTGTAAGAGAGCACATAAAAGTTTAAAACCTATCATAAATTTAGGTTATTTTCCAACAACGATGAATTCATTAGATCAATGTCCCAGCGAACCCAGCAGGTTGTGCTTGAATATGCTTGGGAGCAAGGCACCAGGTAAGATTTTCAGCTGGCTTTCTACTTCTTTTTGTAAATATTCTTAGTTTCGAAAAGTGTCAGTCTATAACATAGTGGTTTTCACACTCTCTGGGGAATTGTATCTGAAAAATACACTTAAAGCTTTAACCAATATCCGCGAGAATTTTTAAAGATGAACCATTGGGCTATCACCAGCGTGAAGTATCTGGTCAGGTCTACTATCCACTACTCCAACGCTGTAGCATAAACTTCCTCCGATTGTAGTCATGCATCCAAGCAATCCCCACATTTTCAAGGTGAACTTCGATCAGTTTCCCTAAAATTAGTATGACGTACACAATCTGACGATAAATGGTACGACTGTCTCCTTTTCTGATAATAGTCTCTGAGAACTAAAAAGCCTTGCTATACATACCTACAAATGAAAAGAATAACTCTTTGCAGAAATTTCCCGGGACTTTCTTATGTACATAACATGAAAACAAGAAGTCTTGTAAAGAACACTTTTGAAACACAAGTTATATGCCGAAGATGTAATATTATATAAATGTTTATTTAACATTCTTTCCTAAAATAGCCTGTAGGTGGAATTGATATTTGAGCCCACGAAACCTGATTCAATTTCTCCCAAACGTCTTAGGGCTTTTTTGCTATTCGATGTTACGGGCCACGTAGTAAGGGCTGGTGTGATGACATCCTTTTTCACCTACTTCACCTCACTTACTACCGTTAAAACCTCAGTAGTTAAATTAGATAACAAATAATATATGAGTATATTGCAGGTTCATTTGGAAGACTTATAGCGTTTGTTGACTGAGTTACCATTTCCTTTCCTTCCGTAATTTTCAGGCATCAGTCATATTCACATCTAGGTCTTTCTCATATTCTCCAGCCCTTAGCGGTTATCGCGCTTTCGTTCTTCTTTTTTAGACACTGGGTACAGGCTTCATTTGGAAATAGACGAGACTACAGCCTGATTGTGGGATGGTCAGAGCTAGTCCCCTACCGTTGAACTACTCAGGTTAAATGACGGGAATTAGCATTCCAACAATTCTGGGCATATCAATTTTTTTCGACAATGCGATTGTGATTGTCAGAGAGAGTGATACCAGAAAGCTAGCGTAGAATCCCGCGTTCAGGGTCAATCCATTACTAACAATAAATAAAAAGACAATAGCAGAGTAGTATTATATTGATTGCTAACAAATGGTTGTTATTAAATTTGTGTATATTTCAGCTTTCAGTGTAAGATTGAAAATGCCTTTGAAACAAAACGCTATTATTCATCCAAACGGCATAAAAGCGAAGATAGCGAAAATTGTCACGGATGCTACTATACGAGATGTTCTCCAAATTTCCATCGATGTTATTAACGACAGCTGTCTGAAGAAAACATTTTCAATACTCATCAGCAATTGTGGGGCGCCATGCACAGCTGCCAAATCAAAAGTTATGAAATCTTTATCACCGAATATTGGGGACACTATTACCTTTTTGTTGCCACTAATGACAGATGGCACACGTAAAGGTGGAAAGTTCGAATGTGATGGTAAAATCGTTATCTTTTAAACATAGTAATTATATGAATAACAATGATTTTTTAGAGCTTAGTTTGAGACTTGCGCCAGCTATCCTCTGAAAAACTTTTTCCAAATTTTCAAGGTATTTCTCAAAGCTCACACCTAGGGTGCTTCCAATGTAGACCCTTAAGAAGATGATGCATTCAACTTTCAAAACCGGCAGGAGAGTTGGGCATCACCGAGAATTACCTTTTCCCGGACTGATAAATAGAATAATCTACTTCGCTCACTATCATTTGCCAATAACAGCTCTTAAGGGTGCGTCTTAGGAACCATTCTGAACTAGTCAATAATACTAGGGTGTCATCCACCCTGCACAAGAGAACGGAATTGCCCATCTTTCTTCTTTACAGGTATCACCGGTGAACTTCATGGACTCATGGACTTCACATGCTGATTAATTACTGCGTCGCTAGCACCAAATCAATGTTTGGCTTAACTGGTTTGTCCTTCCTTGCTGAATATGTTGGGATATTTCCGGAGACGTTGCTTGACCATGTGCTGGTATTTGACTTCCAATACTTTCGCACATGGATTAATGCTTTTTTCCATGCCCTTCTGGTCAAAGGAACCGTATTCAGTTAAATCTCTTCAGTTGATGATGGCGTCCACTTTTTTGACGTTGCCCCAAAACAGTACCCCTTCGAGGTTTTATTAGTTATTTGAATTCATTTAATACTCGAACTCGAATGTGTTTATTCTTTAGCCAGGGTTTTACAAATATGTACGTCCGGCTTAGAATTATTAGCTGATTTGGCAACACATAATTTGTTTGCCCCACAATCTCCATCAAATTTTGCGCCAATAATTGCTTCTAGCTAAGAGACGCCAGCTGTCTTTTAGGCGCACTCGTTGCATGGGCCATTATAGCCAATGCTAAGTGGTACTTCCATAGTTTTGTCTTTCACAATACTGTTATCTTCGCTACTATGAACTTGTGTAATACCGCTACATGCCTGGTTTTTACTTCCACAATTTGAGTGTCCGCGTCAGTTGTCATCCTCAAACTTTCCTCAGGTAATGGCTTTACTTAATTAATGATCAGGTCAGATCGAATGATAGAGTGCGATGTGCCTATATCCACACAATAAGCTTCCGCTTATATCCATCCATACATTCACGTACGCTTATAGAAACGTTGTTCGCTTTGCTGCCAATTTTTGAGACGAAGACTATGGGGCATTTCAATGTCACGGCGCTTTCGACTGGCTCGTTTTAGTTTAACGAATGAGTAGTTGATAATTCCTCCTTCTCAGTCTTCTTATTTCGCTACTCTTCCTGTATGATGGAGCCCGCCTTGTATTCTCGTGCGAAGTAGAAGCATGCGTGAAATTCATACGACAGCAGATTACACAATTTTACTCCTTCTTCAGTTAGAACGTCCACAATACGGACCTTTTGGTAGGTCACTTCCATTTACACCTGTAGTGTAGTTCTTGCAGATATTCATTCTTCCACCGAAACTTCCGATTACCGTCGACTTTAGTGAAATGGGTTCCGAAACTCTATACCGCTGCTTTCCACAGTCCACCCAGGCGGTGAAGGACGATTTCCAGGAAAACCAATGGGCAGAGTTCTTTGCGCAGATGTGGATTGCAACTGCATTGAGGAATGTGTCGAACTCTTGTTGGAGTGTACGTTGAGTTCCGATTAAGATTTTCCCATTATCAGCCAAAGCTATAAAAATTTTATCGAAAAATCATTTTGACTGATGAGGCTCAGGTCAATAACCAAAACTGTCGCAACTGGGGCTAGGAAAACCCAAGTTTTAGTGTTAAAAAGCCACTCTATCCAACGTGTAAATGTATGGCGTGGTTTATGGTCCGGCGCTACGAGCCACTCAAGCAACGAAACCATCGATCGTTTAAGGGAAAAGTTTCTTGAACACTAAAATGACACCTTCTTTTTGAAACCCCTTTACGTATGTGGATATGTTTTTACATTCAAATGTTAAAATATATGTGCTAATGATAAGGAGTCATAGTCATGTATTTTCTCCACCATCGGGCTGTACTCAGCAGTGAGTGGGTTGTAGCCGGTGGCAGTGGTAGCTCTTTAAGCTAGAATATATCGCAGGTAATATGCTTTCAAGCTTCTTCTTTATTAGCACATTACAGCCAATTCAATATTAGCGCACCATTCTTCTCTTCTTCTCGCTGTTTGGCGCCAGTTAGAAACACCAAGTTCAGCCTACTTCTTCCTCTGCTTCAACCAGCGGGTACTGCATCGAATACTTTCAAGCAGGAGTGCTTGTCTCAATCCAAAGTAGCATCTGTTGGCAAGAGTGATTCATCAGTGTGGCTGTAGACTTGGTAGGTCCATTGACCAGAGATTCACCATGCACCAAATTTTGGAAAAGCCCCGTGAAAAGAGGATCGACACACACCACCTTTTCGTCGATTCCAAAGCAGCCTACGACAGCACGAATATGAGCTGTTGAATTTGGTATCCCGATCACGAGATTTCAGACAGGGTGATGCCTTATGGTGTGACTTTTTTAATTTATTGCTAAAGAAAATAATAAGAGCGTCAGAGCCGAATAGAGAAGATAATAGAGAAACGAAGGGAATTGGTCTGGTTGTGTATGAGGGCAAGACGAAAGATCTCCTGTCATCAACCAAACAGTCATCGCATCCGCAACTCGGGGTCCCACGGCACTATTGACAGTCATAACTTTGAGGCGGTAGATAATTTCGTAGGGACCAGCATTAACACCAATAATAACGTCAGACTTGAAATCCAACGCGGATCACTTTTGCCAGCAAAAACCACGAAGGCATTTTTAGTCGTTTAATAAACACAAGCGAACCTAAAATATCAATCACTACATTGATATGAAATTTGGTGTAGATGTCAATAACAAAGCTATCAACATTAAAAAAGAGATAACCTGAAATATTAAACAAGCGAAGCTCAAATTAAAATTTCACCTTACATTTTGCCTACAGTAGTACTTTATAACATAAACTTCTCTTTTTTCAATCGAACATTTTCTCGATTCAGTCTTTGTTTCATTTATTTTCCTTTTTGTATTTTACCTTAAACGAAATAAAATATAGCATAACGGTGTAATTTTTAAATGCCATAGTGCAATAACAGTAATCTACAGCTCTGGTTTCGTTCAATATGCTTGGCGTATTGATGACGAATACACGGTGTGTCCCAAAAATAACCGAACTTTATATTCAAATCATACAACATACAGCGCCATCTATTGAAAATTTGCAATGCACTTAACACCATGTAAGTCGGATGACAGATGTTAAAGTGACAGTCATTTCAATAAAACCAAAAGTGTGCTAATGGTTCAAAAATAAAATGGAACAAAGAGCAAATATAAAATTTTGTGTCAAACTTAAAAAAAAAAATTAATGAAAAAAGTTTATTGTGATTATTGTATGAGTCGTACGCAAGTTTATACGTGGTTTAGACGATTTAAAAATGGTCGTGAGGATTTAAATGACGACCCTAGAGCAGAACGTCCAGAAACTAGTAATCGTGCTGAACTGGTGGAAAAAGTTCGTGAAATCATTGGTATCGATGCAAATTTTAACACGAGAATGTTGGCTGAGGAATTGTATACGACTAGTTTTTATTTCCAATACTGAAAACCAAGAGGAAGGGAGCATTTTATGATGATATCCCAGCCATTCAAGCAGCCGTGACCAAAGTACTGAAGAACATTTCTATAAATGACATAAAAAAATCTATGCATGCGCTGGTTGATCGTTCCAAACGCTGCGTTGAGTCAAATGGACCCTATTTTGAATAAATAATAACTTTCAAAGATAATATAATGTGTATTTTATTTTATATCCAAAAAGTTTGGTTACACCGTGTAGGATAATCGATGATAACGGAACTCCACAAATTTAACAAGTTGATAAGATATTTTTAAGAATATAAATTATAACAAAACAAAAAACTTTTAATATTTTGCATTTAAAACAAATTTTTATTAAAAAAAAAAACTATATGCTTCTAGGCATTGTTGTCATGACGTTTTTTTATTTGCAGTGTTGGTGCAGTTTCGAGCATCAGAAACTGTCAAACATCACCCTCTAAAGAGAAAAATATCAGTAAATCAAAATAACAATTTATACAAAAATACCTCCTTGGAAAATTACATAACTGCTGCTTCTCGTAAGATTTCAATCGAAACAAAGAAACGATGCTTCTGCATTTGGGAATGCAATTGCCATTGCTCAACGAAATTGGAAACACATGTTGATTTTAAGATTTGTCAAAAAATGCGGTATGAAGAAAGAAAAATGGCAGGAATGCTTTTAGGTAATATATATAATAAAGGACAAGAGGACCTTCCATACGATGCTGATTCAGAGAGAATGATTGGTGATAAGGATGCTATAGTTGATTTCACGAGGAATGCTTTTATATTGTTACTGATAATGTTATTATTAGGTAAGTTTTATTTACGTGCTCGGAGTGCTCTTGTCAGCTAATAAAAATGAAGATTTTAAAAGCGTTTAGGATTCTGATACTCGTAACACCATTTCCAAGGTCGTAGAACACCAGATTCATAGGAAAGAGATCAAGGCAAATTCACACGCCTATGTATTTTGTTTGTGTAATCATAGTTTCGAAAAGTCGAATACGAAAATCAATGTATTTTGTTTGTGTAAACGAGAGTTCGAAATGCCAAAACATATTTCACATGAATTTTGTTTGTGTAATTTGTTGAAAAGGAAGAAGAACAAGCAATCATATGATGTGACAACTTCACCTTCTATAAATTCGCCTTAAAAAGCGATATCGACTGATACTTTTTTTTTGAGTTCAAGAAAATGTCAAAGATATTGAAAAGCTTTTGTTTTTAATCTTGGGAAATCATTAATAAGTATTTTTCCGAAAATCGTTACAACTGCTGTTAGAAGTGGCATTGTTAAATAAATTACGAAGGATACAAATTGATCTCAAGATTCAGGACTAGACGAAACTACGCCTAAAAAGGGAATTGGCGAGAAGGGAATTATTTACCACCGAAATCATGGCTGCGAGCAGCTATGAAAGCCGAAGGTATTGACTTGAGCCAATACGAACTCCATCCATCCAAGAGGAATGTAGACAAAGGGCTTACACTGAAGGATTTGGAGCAACCGCCAACAAAGATTAATGAAATACTTCCAACTCACCCACTGTTGTGGTCATGAAGGAGTTGGTCTCAAACTAACTACTAAAAAGTGGTCCATATTCAAGATGATCGATAATTACTTGGATCAAAGGTAATTATAGAAGTAATGAAGTATTGTCAAAGGCGCAGGAATATGCATGACTTACGGATTTTCTTTGGGCTATGCACTTATTACTGGAGGTTTTTGTTTGGCATTTCGTCCGCGTTTATAACCAGCGGTTGGCCTTCCAAGCTCTGAACGAATGGTTATGCGATGCAACATTCATTTTGGTCAAAGTCGTAAGAGTCGTACTTTGCCTACTATAGCCGGTCTATTGGAAAGCTGGAGCAGAGCAACTTCGTAAACATTTCTTCAAGTAACTGTACTAAACTCAACTAAGATGGATCATGCAGCGCTGAAGTGACGACTATAGTTTACTACAGAAGACAGCTAGTTCGGTGGATTGAGATACTGCTTAGTTATGACTTCACTATTGAGAGCCGCAAAGGAAGCCCCCTCGGAAATGCTGACGCCATGTTCTGTCAACCATTCGCTTGTAATGTAAACAGTAATCAAAAGCTGAAGGTAAAGAAGACATAATATCATAGGTGTCCAGCATTTGACAATTACATCTGCTGAAGACCCCAACTTGGAACTTCTAATGCACGAGGAATGAACAAATATCCTGGTCGCAATAGAGCAGCTTATAGTGGCTTCTTGCACAGAGTATGGGAAACTCCGGTTGTTCTCCTAGCATTTCACAATTTCGCCATTGGAGGACAACTGGGTTAGATCTAAAATTTGCTATATTGAGTAGGTCACCGTCAGAAGATTACGGAATGAATTGCAAACTGCAAGAAGTGTACAGAAACTAGAGGGCAAAAATTCAGAAGACATGAACAGATGATGCAATGTAATTCGGGTTCACCGTTTAAGCGAGTTGCCACGGATGTAGCAGGTCCGTATGAGCAGATTAGAAAACAAGTCCGTTGGGTCTACTTAATATTCCAAACTACGAAGTTAAAACAGGAGCGAATGCGTCTAACTATTAAATAATTATGTTACCGGATACGGTGCCCTTGTAAAACTGCAACCTGAGAATTTAAGGAATTTGGAATCGGCTGAATTCAAAGAGATGTTCCTGATAGTGAATATTCGTAAAACCCAAACGACAGCTCTACATTCCCAATTAGATGGTATAGTTAAACCGAGCCCGGGAAGGTCACTTGAGGAAGGTCAAGGAGCAGTCAATAGTTACGACAGTGAAAGTCAGCTCATCCGTCTATGGCCCGGGAGCGCTTATTTTTGTCCTATATCGTCTGTTAATTGACTTTTTGCATATACTTACGCATACGGACAGGTTGACACACTTAGTTCCCTTAAATCTCAATTTTCCTATTAAAACGGTGCTTCACATATAACTTGTATATCAGTTGGTATAATGTCGAGGATGACTTCCATAACTCTAGCTGAGCGCTATACTAATACCCCATATGTTATTATGAGTGTAACGACACTTATGTAAAGCCAGTGCATTACGTGAGGTCATAGGCTCCATATTGCTACAATAGCTCTTCTGGAGGTGTTCCGGATCGTTTCGTATTCCTAGTAAAGGGGCACATCTCAGATTTTTCTTGGATTACTGAAAGTAGTTGTCTCTCAGCCCAATCAGCTACGATGTCGTCAAGTGCCTTCTCTATTACCCATGATATCCAGTTCGGATGTTTGCCAGAAGAGCATACAGAATACATTTAAGTTTTCCGCTGTAAGCAGTTGAGGTAAATGGTTTATGAAAGTAACCCACAAAATCGTAGAGAAAATAACCCCTTAAATTCCAGCCCTTTTATTATATAAAAAGAGTTTAAACCAAGCAAGTAAATTTTGGCTGATCCCAAAAGGGGAATTTAGAATTAAAAAATCGTAGAACAAATTTGTGACTCTTTCATCATAATTCAGTGATCGAACTCGTTAGATTTGTCAAGTCATCTACGCTTTTTATTCGACGTTTTTACAACTATAAATATTTTTGATAATCAACTATCATACGCATTTTGTTTTCAGGTTTGATCAAAGCCTTGATTGGATGTACTTGTTCTGCATATGTAGACCGTTACGGATTTGACTATGCACAGCCTGGAAAAGGATATGAAGACTCTTCTGGTTGCCGGCGATTTGTTATAAATGTTTTTTTCTTCGTTATTCTTCCATTTTTTTTCTGGTGTAAATGTTTTACTCCCTCAAATTTGGACCTACTCACAGCAAGCACAGAGTGGAAATGTGCAAATCTACGCAGTAACTCCTCCTCAGAAAACAAAAGTAATTATCATGAGAAAAACCATTTCGATCCCAAAAGATTCGACGAAGAAGATGACGTTATTTTGACTCAGGTTTGTGTTAAACTGATTTTCACTTTATATACATAATTACATAAGTTCAGTTAACATATTTCCCATAAAATTTCAACTTGTCGGTGTACACAATAACTCCAGAAAATTTTCAGTTATCTTGATGAAACTGCGTAAAACATTTCTTCATCCACAAGCGCGGACATGAAACGTCGTAGTTAATTGAGGATAAGACAATCAGGGGTGTTGTAGACCGAAAATCAATATCTTTTTGAAATGGTGTTATGAAACCAACTTGATTTTGCTTTTTTCGAAGATAAGCAAAACCGATATTCGAATCAGCTGTCATCACAGTTGTGCAAAAAACCCAGCAATTAAATTTAATTTTTGTACTAGTATTAACACATTTCTGATTATTAGGAATAAAAGGGCTTCGGCAGTGATAGCATTTTTAAGATAGAAGAATTTAGAGAAATAATACAGAAAAAAAGCGCAAAATCGTAAGGGATAAGAGCAATCCGCTAGAGCTGCCACAGTCGATGTAAGTGCAATTTGCATTCTCATTTAACATTTGCTGAGACAAAACTTGTTTGTATGTAGATTGATAGGCCAATAACGTCTTAACAAAGAATCCTTTGTAATAGAGCTAGATGTCATTGAAGACCAGTTAGATAGGCGGTCTATCCCACGCGTGCTCATGTGCGGTATCTGACAGAAGGCTCCTTATTAACAATCTGTGGGACTCAAATATCTCCTTAGCGCGAGATTATAGGTCTTTGCGGTTATAACAGAAATGCTAAAGGCTTAAAGGCTTTTGAACGCTTAAATTGTCCGCGCTGGATAATTTTAGGAATGAACGACAATGGAAAACGGAGAGCTTGTGATCATTTTTACATCAAGTACCGTATTCCAGGCACACCTAGTTGTAAAATCCATTGTTCATGGCTTACATTTTTATTAAATTTCCGCTGCAAAGAAGTTTGCATACAAAACTGTCAACGAATAACTGATCGGTTTCTTTCTGACGTTCAAACCGATAAATCAGTTTCTCTAACACCTGAAATCGACACAAATTATGTTTCGAAATACAAATCACTAATCGGAATGTGTAACCACTTCAACAGAATTTTGTCGTTTTTAATTCTGTTTTCGACAAAAATCTGTTTCTATAACACACCTGAATATATGCGTTTAGACTATGTTTGTTTCAATTGTCAAGATAATTATTTTTAATTTCCAGGGGATATTCTGAAAACTCCTTTATGCCTTTTAAGATCAATCCGGCACAATATCTTATTAAGCCATCATTTGCTGTGTAAAGTCGATAAGTGCGTCGCAATAGATGAGGAACTAAAAAAATGTATTAAAAATAATAATTTCAACAAAAGATAGTTGAATATTCTGGTTTATTTTTATACATAAATTTGAGTCAAGAAGAAGAAAACATGTTTTTCAACGTCTTCCAAAGACCGAATGTAGTGATGAATATGAGCTTTGTTCGTTGGTTCCTAGACCAATCCGCTTTAGGGATCTTTCGTTATTCTTTAGCATTCTTCATTACAGTAAGCTTACTAACAAAGAATTCTTAGAAACTTTTATGTAAGATTCAAGGGAAGGAAGGATATTCGGTAATTCTTTTTTAATATTTTTTTTTATAATTATTTGTATGCACTCGAATACAATGCAGTGCAAAGGACGACAGTTCAGAATAAATGTATTGTACGTTCAATTCTCCCTTCACGCTGTTATAATCTCAAATTCGTGACCAAGGCCACCTTTACGAAGGTAAAGACCACTTACATATCAGGTGTACAACTTTTCTTCCGCCGTTTTCCGATAGGTCGCTGTACCGGCTGAGGCTGGTTGAAATACATAGATGATAATGCCTTTAAAGTGAGTGTGGACAGTGCCTAACGAATTGTCATCGCCGTTTCAGTGTCAGTTGTTCTTATTTTCGTATTATTCACGCTCGTAAATGTCCATTTATGTGCCTAATTCTCGCCATTTGCGGGAAGTTTTACTTTTCGAAAAAAAATGCAGCTGGAGCGCATCGAATGCTCTCAGAAACTTACGGTGATGCTGCTCTGAGTGAAAGAACGTGTCGGGAGTGGTTTCAACGTTTTAAAAATGGTGATTTCGATGTCGAAGACAAACATGGTGGTAGAAGAGAATCAGCTTGGTGTGATTTACTACGAGCTCTTAAAACCGGGTGAAACCATCACAGTAGATCGCTACCGAACGCAACTGATGGGCCTTAGTCGCGCGCTAAAAGAAAAGCGGCCACAATATCAAGAGCGGCATGACAAAGTCATCCTCCAACACGATAATGCTCGGCCTCACGTCGAGAAAGTGGTCAAAAAGTACCTGGAAACGCTGAAATGGGAAGTCTTGCCCCACCCGCCGTATTCCCCAGATGACGCCCCTTCTGACTTCCACCTATTCCGTTCGATGGCACACAGCCTGGCCATCAATCAGAAGAAGAAGGTACTATCTTTCAATCCTTCGAAGAATTAGAAAAATGGATTGCTTCATAGATAGCGTCAAACGAGGACTCCTTTTTTCGAGCCGGGCTCCGAAAATTGCCGGAAAGATGGGAGAAAGTTGTCGCTAGCGAAGGACAATAATTTGAATAATATATCTGTAAGCACTTTTTCGGAATAAAGCTTTTAATTTTGGAAAAAAACGGCGGAAGCAAAGTTGTGCACCTGATACACATAAATGTATGTTGTAATTCGACCTCAGAATTATTGACGCTGATGGCGGCCGCGGTAGCCTAGTGGTTAGCATTGCGTACTGACATTCGGAAGGCTCGGGTTCAAATCCCGGTGCCACCAACATCCAAAGGTTATGGAAAATTAATTTAAAAAAATATTTAGCTAAATTAGTATATACATAGTATGGTATTAAAAATTATGCTGCTTGGATTTTTACTCTTGACTGTATATTTTTGACATATAACTAAATTGAATTCTTGTAAAATAAAATTTTAAGAATATTTCAATCGTGTATCTTAGTCTTACTTCCCTTAAATTGTTCATTAATTGAAATCTCTTATGCAGCTGCCAAGTCTTCTATTTGATTTCCTCAAAAACTTTATCACCAACTTGGAAGTTCTTATTTTGCCCGAAAAAATATTTTACTTTCTTAGATAGTTTTTATCCTAGTCCATAGGATCGCTAGTCCGTCGTCTATCGGGTTCTTAAAAGCAAGATGCGAGAGCATTAGGTTGTCTGATGTCTAAACATTTTCTAACTTATTGAAACGTCTGATTGTTTTTTCATGAGGAGCTTTATTTCATGTCAGAAATACATTCAGAGGTGTTGAATTCCCTGCCGAGAGGTCGACCGCAATTAAAAAATTTAACTTAATTTTTTATTTAAATTTATTTTTTATAAGTTTTTGGAAGTTAGTACGACATCAAGATTTGAACCCGAGCCTTCCAAATGGCAGTACGCAATGTCAACCACCGCCGAATTCCGCTTTATGCATGTTCGATAAGCTATCTCAAGGTCAAACTTGTTTAAAAATGTTTTTTTATGAATATGCATTAATTTAAACTGTTCATAGTAGCAATTGTTCTTATAAAATAACATTCAGCCCGTGCAAAATGATACATATACATATAAAAGGCGCGGAAAAATTAGATTAAGTGACCCGTCGTTAGGTATACATGCCTGTGGGATTAACACCACCGGCAAATGTTGTGTAAACCCTAAGGGACACCCTCACCTCACTAAAAAGAGTTTAGTAGAGGGTTTTCACCTCTACAGTATGTGCGAGAAAGTAGATATCTGTAGTTTCCGAAATAGCGTGTTTGTTATTTTAGGAAACCACTGGCAAGGCTGAGCCAACCCCAACCAAGTGGTAAACCTCACTTCAAGGGATAATCCTATATACGTGTATGCTGACGAAAACATAGTGTGGGATGTTCGCAGATCATTGCCGTTTAAAGCGTAATAAGAAGACTCACATATTGTCATTACTCCTGAGCGAAATAATAAAAATAGAAAAATATAAAATTTCTGATCAATGTAATAAATGTTTTATGATTATAATATTTTAACAAAACCTATAATTATTACCGTCTGTGGTATTATTTAATTAAGAAACTTTTTTACAATTCCAGCATATAGAAAGCTGTTCGAAAACTAACGTCAGTTCAGCCAGAGGTAACAGTGGTATCAAACGCATTAGTGGTGGTAACGTTTTGTGCAGTTTGAAAGATTCACGAAATTTAATGCCCTATACAATTTTGGAAACCACGGGGAGTCAGGGGTCAGATGAAGAGGAAAATACAAAATATATTTTGAAAACATTGGCAGAGAGCAGGGAGTCTTTACGAACATTGGTAAGTAAACTAGTAAACAAACTAGTGGCCATTTGGCCATTTGGGCCCAAGCGACAAATTTTAAAGACCAACAAGAAGACTTCAATATCTTTCACATAATGGTTCTAATTTTTTCTAAAAAAACGATTTAAAATGTTAATCGAAGCTATTTCATCTTGACAATAATAAGACAAACATTAGTCAGTAAGAATAAATTCGTTTGAGACTTGGCAAAAGATATTCAAGAATTCAAGTTGAAATTGGACGCATTTAAAAACCAAATTAACTAAAAGGATTTTACTTTCTTCCCAGTGTTAAACACAAATCAATATAATGAAGAATTTGAGCTAGCTTATGATACGAACATGTTCATTTAATATATTGATATTGGCCAAGTAAAAAGTCGTTCGGTTTTTTTTATTGATTTTTCAAAATATGATAACTTTGTATACATTTGCACAATTTAAGTCGTTTTGTTCGTAAACTTGTTACCAACGAGATGCCAACCTCATTATATTCTCCTCGTAGAAGGCTGCATCCCTATTGGCAAAAAACTCGGAGAGCCAATGTTCACAGGCCTCTCTTGAGGTAAACTTCTCACCATTAAGCGCGTTCGCCATGGACAGGAAAAGATCGTAATCACTTGGTGCCAGGTACGGACTATAAGGTGGGTGCATTAGGACCTCCCATCCGAGCTCCTGGAGCTTCTGGCGCGTCACCAAAGACGTGGCGTTGTCCTGATGGAACACAATTCGGCCTCTGTCGATCAAAGAAGGCCTCTTATGGATGAGTGCTGCTTCAAGCGGTCCGTTTGTTGGCAGTAGAGGGCCGCATTGAGCGCAATAGATGATTCCTCGCCAGTCGCTATCCGCTTCAGAAACGGATCGATTTTGTTGCGATTCAGCAGCGATTCGCAGATAAAAATTCGGTCCATCATGTTGTTTTGCGTTAGTACGTGTGGCACCCAAGCATCGAGCTTGCTTTGGAATCCAAGGTTATACAAATGATTCCAAATGGTTCCTCAGCAATTAAATAAGTGCTCACGTGACGGTCTGCCTCCATTTATTCCATGATTTTATCGCAATTGAATTGAATTCGAAGACAGGTCTCCCAACGCGTGGTGCGTCTTTGACATCGAAATTATGGAACTTTTTGTGCTACACGTTCGCTTACAGTATCGGGCCCATAAACTAAATGAATTTTTTTAGCCGCCTTGACTGCTTTCGCCTTGATCGAAGAAAAAGAGTAAAATATAGCGAATTTTCTCTTTGCTGGGGTCCATCTTTGACGAGCGCTCTCAACGTACTGAGTCAATCAATCGAAAAACTATTCAAGACAAACTTTTAGCGCGAATAAACAAGTTTTCAGCGCCATATAGTATGGCATGATGCGACACGTACACCTAGTACTATGGACAATAACGCCTTCTCTTAGATAAAAACCGGACGAACTTTTTTTCTAGACCTAAACTTTGATGAACGCGTTCGATTCACGATTTGAAGATTTCCTAAAGTTTCGGTTGGTATTCAAATTTCTCAAAAACCCATTCGTTTGTGGCCCAAATAATTTTCAAAATTGGCAGATGTTTCAGGAACAAAGAAAACTCATTTAGAATTCGATATTTCGTTGATAAATGAAAAAAGGGGCTTGCCAAATGAAACGGGCGATGCATTGTGGAGGCGTTTTGTTATCTGAAGGTAATTTCTTGGCACTTAAAGACATTGTACCAAAGTTTCTATGCCTGTTTGGTTCCACATACGTTTGCTAAGCTTCATTCTCAAGTCACGTGCGACGTAAAAATAAATACCGCAATTCAATATCGCAACGAAACTCGGAGTCCGAACTTTGTTGGGAACTAATCCTATCGAAGCCAGACGTTGATAAGATAAAGAAAAAAAGGATATCATCCGTCGCATTAATCTTAAATAAACAATCGAAAATAAATGCAAAAACGGAGTTTCGACACTTTTTCGCTGTTTTTCTTAGGTTTTTAAAAAACTGGCAATTGAATAAATTTGAATTCAAGGCCATTGGTCGATAAGTATAGGGACCCGATATCAAAATAGTGTCGGACTCATAATTGCACGAAATGTGCCAATAAGTTACTTACTGTACTCCAAGGTTAAGATCTTTACCTTTTATCGTTTTTGAATAAATAAAAAGGTAAGAGCTATATTCGTCCAACAGAGTCCTAAAAAAGTAGGTTAATTTTCAAGCTTCTTTGTATACATGTACATCTATTTAATTTTGTGACTTAACCCTGGAAGTGACACAGTACTGAGCTTGTTCGATTAGTGATTCTCAGATGGAAATTCGGTTCATGGGGATTTTTCTCGTTAACTCGCGTGGCACCCGTACGCAGAGACTCCTTCTGAAATGAATTGCTTGTGAATGCAGGATTCAATAGTAATAGAGTAGGTAAAATCACTATGAATGTAATCCTGAAGAGCTGGCAAGCTAGGCTCATCTTTACTCCAACAGTCACGCTGCAATCAGATATCTTCAATGTAACGGTACCACGTCAGAAGTGGCCATCAATTGTAGGAACTTTCTTAACAAGGAAGTACTGCCTTTGTCTGGATACCTGGCCAAAGGGACATCCCAGGCGATTGCATGGCAGACGAATTAGTAAAGAAAGGAACCCTTCTTACCACGATAAAACTTGCGCATGATGCGGACTCACCTCTGTCCACGGCTAAGTACATGCTTAAACTGGCTTTCACCAGGGAAGCATACTCATGATGGTTAAAATAAATCACGTGCAACGTGACCAGACAGCTATGTCCGAACTTAGATGGGGGCTTCACAGTAAAGGAATGGGATATCAGGCACTGCCCAGCCTTTGAACCTGCGTAACACAATATCCTCGGACACCACTTCTTCGACTGTCCAGCTGAGCTAGCATCAGCGAAAACTGGAAATAGTTACCTTTATGAGACGCACGAAATGTTACTGTCATTTGGGAAGGTGCAGACAGGAGTCTCATAGTGGTATCATAATGGGTCTATTGACCTAACCTCATAGTGGTATCATAATGGGTCTATTGGCCTAACCTCGCTGTGAACGACCAGCAGTCGCAGCAACTCAACTCAAAGTATAAGTAAAGTGGTGGCCGAGTGTTTAGCATTGCGGAAGGCTCGGGTTCATATCCCGGTCCCTTGCTAGCATACAACAAGCAATAGAAAATTTAATTTTAGTAATTTTATTAAGCTAAATTTTCTAATTGCGGTCGCTCCTCAGCGAGGAATGTCAACCTCTTCCCTTCTGACATGAAATAAAATTCCTCATTAAAAAAGCCATCAGCCGATCGTGAGGCGGCTTAGAATAAATTGTAGATTCCTCCATTTGTTGGAATAACATCAAGACGCTAAGCCACAAATTGGAGGAAGTACCCGGCCGAAAAACCGCTCCAGCGGTTACAAAGCGCCAATTACATATATAAAGTGCTAGTAATTGTGTAATAGCTAACGGTTAGTAAATAACGAAGCTGTACAACGAATTTAGGGTCTTTTTTCAACCATCCAGTGGTCGAGCCCGAAGGAGATGAAAAATCAATGTGGTTCAATTTACGTTAATTCTTACGATATTGTATTTTTATTTTATTTTATAAAAAATGCTTTTCTATGTTCTCTTTGTGGTTGCAGTTGTCTACGAAAAACGCATTAGATGTTACGGCGGATACTGATGACAAATTACATCAAGCCGAAGAATTTGTAGAATCTCTGATTGAAGCTCAAATTGTTTATCGAAAGTTAGATCGTCCAGTTGGAAATGTGAAAAACATTCCATATGGTATTAAATATTGCGTGCAAGGCTATTTTTTGCCTACGACAGAAGCAGGGTATGAATTCGTTAATTATCATCCATTGGTGCAATACTATGGAATAGCTGCTAACGTAAGTAATTTCAAATTTCGATAAATGTTCAACCACAAATAGTAGGAAAATTTTCTTCCTTGATTATAAAGTGCCAATTATATACACGGTGTGTCCCAAAAATAACCGAACTTTTTGGATATAAAATAAAATACACATTATATTATCTTTGAAAGTTATTATTTGGAACGATCAACCAGCGCATGCATAGAATTTTTTATGTCATTTATAGAAATGTTCTTCAGTACCTCGGTCACGGCTGTTTGAATGGCTGGGATATCATCATAAAATGCTCCCTTCATCTTGGTTTTCAGTTTTGGAAATAAAAAATAGTCACATGGTGATAGATCAGGCGAATACGGAGGATGGTCGATGAGTGAAATCCCTTTTTTCATTAAAAATTCGTTCCCTTTTTTTGTTTTGTGAGGTGGTGCATTATCGTGCAATAAAAACAGCTGTTTTCCTGCTGGATATTTTGGTCTAACACGACCGATTCTTTTCCACAAACGCCTAAATAGTATTCTCCATTAACAGTTTGACCTTCTGGAACAAATTCCTTGTGGACAATACCCTTCGAATCGTAAAAAGTAATCAACCCTGTCTTGATTCGAGACTTCTGAAAACGCAATTTTTTTTTGGTTTTGGTGTATGTAAATATCGATGGAAAGATAACATTGTCAAAATTTATTTAATAGCTGCAAAACGATATGAAAAAAATGATAATGGGTGCATTCAGCGAACTGAACACTCAGTAACCATGTTCAGTGATCGATTTTACTGAACGATTAATTTCCATGAACGTAATGCTACTTCAACAGACCTATTCTCACTGTTACCGGAAAAGTAAATTTTGTTACTCTTCTTTAACACCCGAAATTGAATTTGGTATTCTGGCGAACTGATTACAATGTTTGAAAAAAACTTGGGCAGCACTGCCCTTTTTCGTCCATGTCAAATTACGTTTGCCAGTTGATAAAGTAAAAAGAAAAATATTCACATCGAAATGGAAGACGGTGCACAAAAAAATTAAAAAGTTTTATTAATTTGTTTATTAAATCATAAATATTTGAACCTAATTATGGAAAATATGCCTGGACAACAAAAAAAAAACTGAATGAAAACGTTATCTTACAAATAAAAGGAATATTTTTTGTCTCGAAAACTTCTTAAAATACGGCTTTTTGCACATTTTTCTTCATCTTCAATGAATTCCAGGCCTAAAATATGCCTACCCATTTTTTTTTTTTTATTTTTTCACAAACTTACTATATAAAATCAAACAGCAGATATTTTTGTTACCTCCTATTTCGCTGGTAACAAAATTTATAGGGTAACAGTGAGCTCAGAATACGAAATGGTAACAAAATTTTCTGAATGGTAAATTTTCAAATGAAAGTAAATTTTGTTACCTCCACAGAATAGGCCTGCAAATGTCGGAACGACCACATGAACCGCTACTTCAACTGCCCAAACTAATTGTGAAGTGACACAGGTTCTTCATAAAAATGTTTGGTCCTTTCTTTTAAATTTCTTTCTTTGAAAAAGTGTTTATCTAATGCAGATGGCGCAACTAAATCTCTTTGACAACCCTAAAAATCTAGTAAATTGTCGTCACAAGCACTTTCAAGTAAAAATACTTTTAAATTTTCGCGATTCATTTATACTACAGTTGAGCGATCAGTAGCAAGTTGCATAAAAATTTTACGCTCACAAATATGATGAGCGCTCACTAATCAGAGCGTTCAGGGTCCGCTCACTGAACATGTTTACTGAGCGCTCAGTACGCTGAACGCACCCATTGATAATTTCATCTATCTTGAATCCAATATAAATACCAACAACAATGTTAGTCTAGAAATTCAACGCCGAATCACTCTTGCTGTTAGGCACATACTCGATGAATTTCACTATCAGAGGTCTGAAATATGATTTTTAAGTTATTCATATATTATATAACATAATTTTATATTTTTTTAATTAAAAGTGGTAGATTTTCTCTTAAGCTGCGGGAGAAAGAAACTACTACTTTTAAATTATTGTACCATGCGGAACGTTTCCTTATTGCATAGCGAAACATTCGAAAGCGAAAAAAAATATTAATACGTCGATTCTGAAGTACTTTCATAATAAATATGCAATATATAAAAAAATTTCTTTTTATTTGCAGGGCGCCTTTATGGAAGCGTTACGTCCGCCTGTGCTGTTAAACCCGAACGACTTTTCTCGGGTATATAAAAATAATTTGGATGTGTTGAATGCAAATGATTTGCATGTTAATCCGCCGTACTGTGTTCCTTGCATCAATGTATATTGTTGTGATTTTTTAGCGATTACATAATTAATAACAAATCAAAGCAACGCTGAATCCATGTAGGAAAATTTCAGGGGGCCAGGCAATATGAAAAGTTCCGTCAGTAGCGAATGCAAGGAAGATGATTTAGTAAACTGTTCACGTGACAGTATTTTTGTTTGAAAATAAATATGTAAATATGAATATATTTTAGTATGCGCAGCAACTTTATTTCCATTTTACTTTGATATGAGAATTTTTGAAATTCTGTATTAAAAACTTTTGTACATAATTTTTAAATGAAGTGCGTTTTTTTTCTCTTTTAAAATTCAAAAATTGACAATTTTGTTTAATTTTAATTTTACTTTATTATATATTTCATATAATCTCAATAACGGAGTGGGATAGTGTTCGAGTGTCTCACATTTTGTAGTAGATTCATCATGAGTATTGGAAATAACGGTAAGTATTCTTATATATGTACATTCAAAAGGAAGATATACTAATTCAGATAGTTTTAAACAAACCTCAACTAATGCAAAATATTAAATTAAAATTTGGTCAAGTAGCAACCATCCATTATTTTTGTATTAAATTGAAGGCTTTCCCAGCAAGAACAGTATGGCTTATATGTATAAACCCTTATAGAAACCGTATGACTAAGAGCTGATATCCCTTATAAATCGAAAAACTTTAATTTTGTACAGACCGTTGGGAAAAAAACTAAGTGACACTTACTGTAGGTGTGAGTTTTTTACTCAGTCCTTCGTATGGACTAATTCGATATGAATACATTATGAGTATCTCTTCCGTAACCATTTTCAATAAGGCATGTATAAGCATTTAAATAAAGGATTTGTTTAAGGGATTTTTTAAGTATTTATAAAGCTACTGAAATGAGGTCTTATAAATGGAGATTTTTTAAGTGCCATAGAAAAGTTTTTCAAAAAACAAAACTCATAAAATTCAGAAAAATGCATGAAATCTCTATTTGAATCGATAGCACGGTCCATATAATTTAAGGTTTGAAGATTACTTCATGCGAATATTGACCGTGACTGCACCTAAAATGATCCAACCGCTCAGTCCAATTTTGCCATACTCTTTTCAACTTCTGTTGTGAGCGCAGCTTTTGAACGTCGAACCTTCCTTGCGTTTGTTGATGGGCGTTCATTGATATACAGAGGCGGATAATTACCCCTGAGTCGCTGTTAGCACCTCGGAGCATGCGCACAACTAAAATACTGGGTACATGTCTTCCGATCGATCTAGTTGAAAGTTTTTCGATCTGTAGACATCCAAGTAGCTTGGTGCAGCTAGTGCTACAGATATTTCGTGCACGCCGAAGTCGATCAGCCTCAGCCCATTTGAGGATGCTTCTTCGTAGAGGCAGAATTTCCCGAGAGTTGTCCCAAAAATACTTTCTTTGCCCACCTTAGCGTTGAAGTCGCAAAGCGTAATTTTGACATCGTGGCGGGGGCAGCGCCCATAAGTGCGGCCAAGGCACTCTCGAAAGGAATCTTTGTTAAAATCATTTCTTTCTTCCGTCGGGGCGTGGGCGCAAATCAGGGGGGTGGTAAAAAAAATCATTTTGATGCGGAGAGATTGTGTCGATTTTTCTAAGCCACCTTCAAATGGCCGATGGTTTCTCATGAGTAGCTCTTATTTCATGTCTCATATACACTCTTAAGGCTTGATATTCCCTGCCGAGGGACGACCGCAATTAGGAATATTATTTTTTTTTATTTTGAAAGTTGGTCAGATTAGTACTCGAACTTTGGCCGTCCGAATGTTATAACCAGTTGACTATAATGTCCCTTAATTTCACAGAAATAATCTAGTGATGTGTATTTGAATGCTTCCAAGTGAAAAACTCCAATGCTACCTCAGCGTTGATAGTATTGTGTGTAGTTGAATGTTCACTCCAAATGAATATGTAAGGGAAAATTTTTATTTTAAACACCGAACCGTGTGAATTCACCTCAACAGAACTTACGAGACTATGCTATCAATGGAGTCAGCTGCCACCCTTAAGGACTTTACCACGCTCGTCTCCTACTTGTTTTTAACTCTCCTTGTCGTTTTAACTCTCGTTTTATTTCTTCGTGTTAATCTTGTTTGAACGACCACCTGTCTGTCAAGACAGACCCAGTAATCAATGTAGAGTATAGGGAATTATATAAGCCCACAGTAGTAGTTCTAGGAGGTCCACCGTTACACCTAGTGGCAGCCGCTGGTCAGGAAGACTACATTATACCACACCAAAATATTATTCCTAGTCTGAAAACCATCGAATAAGTACGGCTAGCATAACTCACTGGACTAGGGATGTTATTGCTCTTGTACGCTGTCGTCCAGCAGAACTATACTGTATGACTGGTAGCGCAAGGCTCTCATCAGAATGGCACTGACTGATGAAATTGTGAACTCACAAGCCGTTTGTGCAAATATCGTTTGAGCTAAGCGAAAAAAATGTGAGTGACTTTCCAATTTCAAGTATGTAGTTAATAAACCCAAACTTTCTTTTATGTTATGAGTTAATGGCTGCCACGGTAGCCGAGTGGTTATCAATGCGATCAAGTAGGAGCAGAGAGATTTAGAAGGTCCGGGTTCGAATCTTGGTCCGACCAACATCCAAAAGTTAAATTTGCGGTCGCCGCTCGGGAGGGAATGCCCACCCCTCCGAGTGTACTTCTGACATGAAATAAAGACTCCTCGTAAAAAATTATCAGCCATTCGGAGGCGGCTTAGTATAAACTGTAGGCAAAGGGATAACAGAACATGCGTTGCAATAAAGCATAGAACGTTTCGAAAATAGCATATGACAATAAAAATATATGTATTTACATACAAATATGAAATCATACCAGGAGTTCACCACATTTGCTTTTGCCAATTCTTAAGTTTTTAACTTCACAATTTTGTAGTTCATCAATGTTGCACATAAAAAGTATTGATCCAAGTCCCATCTCTTTGAACCCATCACTGGTTTGCTTAAGCAGTTTGTCGAATTCGATGTCGGTCGACCTACATACGAGGTGTGTTCAAAAAGTATCGCAAATTTTGAATTTTCGCGGGTTACGTATAATCGAATTTCGATTTTTTTTGTGCGTTATGTTGGTACTCATGTCTGTCACTTATGCCGACAAGCTCGGCCATTTTGAATGCTCACTTAATTGTTGACAGCCGCTTTGCTTGCACGAGTTGTAAAGCTTCTAGGGCCAAATAAAAATTGCTCAGCAGAGTAAAAAGTCAGCTCCGCAGCTTGACGTTTGTATTATTTATATAGAATAAAGTAACGTTGGCAATAACGACTTAATGAGAATAAAAGGGGAGCGAATAATAAAAAATACATGTTTTTTTCTTTAAGTACGAAACTAAGTGAATTACTCGTACATATTTCATTACAAAATTATTAACTATGACAAATTGTAACCATATTTTTATGACAACAAACTAATATATTTATTTCACGTTTCGAAGGCATGGAAACCCTTATTGATTCTTCTGTAGGCATATGTACATATATATGTACGTAAAAATAATTATTAAACAGCTATGAAAGCTTTTATGCGGCTCTCTCGCGAGAGTATAAACAAACGCTTTTACAAAAGCTCTTCGCATGATTGTTTTACAAAAAATACTGCTTTTATTTGATAACAAGATTTAGACAACAAATTACCGTTCGGCCCTTTTATACAGAGTTTCATTTGGATGGTGAAGCATAGTGACTGTTATTAATTTTATTTAGTGTTAACAATGTGTGTTTAATGTAGCTTTTTGTGAATTCCACATACTGTAATCAGTGTTGCAATGTCATCTTTAGGAAGAGGGAATACGCAAGCACTGCTACAAAAGCAAATGTCTTTTGCTAGCAGCCATATGCCTAAATCAGAAGAAACTGATGCCCTCGAAGGCATAAACATTCACACTTCTACCAAGCACACGGTAAGCAGGGAAATTATTGTATTATATACTCGCCATATTCATATTCATGTACATATACTATAATAGGTACATAAATATGGATGTATGTAAACAAATACATACGCAACATCCAGCAAATTATTACCAAAGCAAGCACTTCGATTTGTTTCCATCATTGCACTATAAAAGCTTCGAGGACTACTTAAACTTGTTTTTTTTTACCTTTGAGCTTTTGTTGCAATATTTTTGACTTTCCAATATTACATTGATATTCAACTTGGATATGAACTAAACAAACTAAATATTATGCAAAGACATAGAAGCATTTGCCGCCTGCAATTTTCAAACCGAAATACGCTTTTTAACAAAATATTACATCGAATGAACTCCGCTGCTTTGCAATGTTACAAATTTTTTCGAACAGTTTAGAAAAAAAATTCTTATTTTTAAAATTTTATAAATATTCAATGAAAAAAATCAGCTTTGAACAAAAAACAAAAAAAAATAAAATATTAGGAATTTAAATACATTACTCACACGAAATTGATACCAAGGAGTAAGGAGAGCTGCTAAAAGTCATGAGGCAAAAAATTTAATTGATTAAACCAAACCTAAAATAATTTCTTTAAAAAAAATTGTTTAAAAAAAACCTTATGAACTAAACGTACATATATTTCATCCCCCTCTCTAAAAACAAGAGTCTGCTGGCTTCTTGGGAGCAGACAGTTTCTAAAAATCCAGGCACTAACGCATACAAAAGCAAAGGTCGCCAACCCAAGCATTCACAATGTATACAAAAAAAAAAAAAAAAACAAATGTACGCAAATTTATGTGCGGTAGAGATTATTTTGGCCTAACGTCGGAGATTTGAACCCGCGTAGCGATTTTAACAGTTTGAAATTTCGGTACCTTAATTAGATGGCTAAAAACAGCATTTGCAAAATGCGAAAAATTATTCAAAATAAATACCAATGCCCTATAATAAATTACAAAAATAAAATAAGAAAGAGCAAATGCAATTAAAATGTATACTTCAGGCATTCATAGTAAAAACCATCATACAAAAATTCTATAAGGTAGTTTCACTTCGAAAGAGTTTTCATTTTTTACTTTTTTTGAAACTAAGTCTCATAGGTTTTCTCGATTATATGCGAACCGTATGTGGTTTGGCTACTTGGTAATACCCGTAAGCTCAGCACATGATGTAGACATAACTCTTTCCAGTGCTAGTATTTGTTAAGATTAGCCCGCACTAATAGCGCCAAGTGCAGGTGATATAGTGAAACCACGTGTTATTGATCGCAGTGAATAGAACTAAGTTTTTAATCTTTTTAAACAGGACCTCCATAAGCATAATAACTGACATATTTACCATACACTGTATTGTGGGGACTCATGGTAGAGGGATTGATCTATCGGAATTTTCTTTTCCGATTGATTAGCAGTGCAAGCATCTATAGGTATCATTAATCTCCTGAGCTACTTAAAATAAACCAAGTGGTTAGAGCATCTGGAAATGTGAGAGGAAACTTTTTCCCAGAACCAACATGGATCAACCGGTTTAACTAACTAACTGACTCAAATATCAATATATTATATTTAGCGCTTACATGTAATGAACTTTTAGCCTAATTAAGAGATTTTTATAATGAATTTGCAATGCTAAAAAAACATACCATTATTAAAATAATATCCCGTACTTGAAACATCTCATCTCTTGATACTTTGTTACAATTTCCTAAAGTTTTAACACAACAATCATGGAAGACATAAACTCGATGAGATTCATTAACAGGGGTTGCAAAATAAAAAATGACATGATTTTCTCCACATATTTTTTTATTTAAAAATAGTATAATATATTTTTTTTAAATAATATGGTAGCACGAAAAAGACGCAACACGTTTTATGTCAGATGGCTATGAAGCCGACTCCGAAGAGATAATGAAACTACCTTTAAATTATTGTATCAAGGTAAAAAAAGATTTCGACTTTCTTAAATCGAAAAAATTTATAACAAAAAAAATACAAAACTATTCAATGCAAACAAAAAAAATTGAGAAACGTACTCACAAAAATCTCAAAGCCTTTATATTATATTTTCTGAGATAAAATTATTTTCATGAGGATAAGCATTTTTTTTTATAAAAAAAAATATATGAAACTAAAAACTAAAGCATTTTTCAATAAAATAAATATCATTTTGAATATATTCAATAATTGATAAAAACATTTCAAAAATGGCGAGAAATACGCCATTCACCTCAACGAAAAATTCCAAACTATTTTACAATTAAAATTCGTATCAGGTGTACAACTTTGCTTCCGCCGTTTTTTTCCAAAATTAAAAGCTTTNTTTTTCTCTTCCACCACCATGTTTGTCTTCGACATCGAAATCACCATTTTTAAAACGTTGAAACCACTCTCGACATGTTCTTTCACTCAGAGCAGCATCACCGTAAATGGCGAGAATAAGGCACATAAACGGACATTTTCGAGCGTGAATAATACGAAAACAAGAACAACTGTCACTTAAACGGCGATGACAATTCGTTAGGCACTGTCCACACTCACTTTGAGGGCATTATCATCTATGTATTTCAACCAGCCTCAGGCGGTACAGCCACCTATCGGAAAACGGCGGAAGCAAAGTTGTACACCTGATATGTATCTTCTTTGGTAATGCTGAGCTTGGTCTTGGTGTAATTTCGTAATATTGTGTAAATAAAAATACCACTACAGTTAGTATTATTTCTGAATTAATTAATTTTTCTGCTGTTTTATTCACAGAATACCAGCATGGGATGGATATGCTGTGCGCCTTGTATTTGGTTGCGCACATCAACAACCGTTCACAAAATTGCAATAACGGCGGCTACGTTTTTAGTGACGTCACTATTAGTTGCATCGCCAATATTATTTCTTATAAGCACAGCGCCTTCACGACTCCCAAGAGAATGCATTTCTAGTGACGATGACTGTTACTTGGAGTCATCTGCAGCAAAGGAATGCTCAGACGTAGTATGTAGAATAGTTTCCACAAGTATTCAAGCAAGCATTGACTGGAATGCGGACCCCTGCTCAGAGTTCAAGAATTTCAGCTGCACCGGCAATCAGATGGGGAAGAGTACAACGGCAATGCGAAGCATTCAAGAGACTGTTGACATTCAAATACAATGTACGTAGACTTTTTTTTAAATGTTTATTAGACTTTTTTTTAATTTTGACGCGAAGAAATTTTTTATGTGATACAAATATTATCAGATAAGTTTAATTTGAGCACATGTAAGCAGAGCACCAGCCATGTCGGCGGGGAATAATTTAATTACTTCGTGGGGCTTACACAAATTTGAGCGTACCCAAAAAGCAGATCTGCCTGCCAAGCTCAAAACCAATCTAGACCAAAACCGCCGTTTTCCGATAGATGGCTGTACCGGCTGAGGCTGGTTGAAATACATAGATGATAATGCCTTTAAAGTGAGTGTGGACAGTGCCTAACGAATTGTCATCGCCGTTTCAGTGACAGTTGTTCTTGTTTTCGTATTATTCACGCTCGAAAATGTCCGTTTATGTGCCTAATTCTCGCCATTTGCGGGAAGTTTTACTTTTCTGTTACAATTCGAAAAAAAAATGCAGCTGAAGCGCATCGAATGCTCTCAGAAACTTACGGTGATGCTGCTCTGAGTGAAAGAACGTGTCGGGAGTGGTTTCAACGAATATTCACGGCGCCAAGGTTATGATTTGTATTTGGTGGGATCAGCTCGGTGTGATTTACTACGAGCTCTTAAAACCGGGTGAAACCATCACAGGAGATCGCTACCGAACGCAACTGATGCGCCTTAGTCGCGCGCTGAAAGAAAAGGGGCCACAATATCAAGAGCGACATAACAAAGTCATCCTCCAACACAACAAAGCTCGGCCTCACGTCGCAAAAGTGGTCAAAAAGTACCTGGAAACGCTAAAACGCCGTATTCCTCAGATGTCACCCCTTCTGACTGCCACCTATTCCACTCGATGGCACACGGTCTGGCAGATCAACATTTTCAAGCCTTCGAAGAATTGGAAAAATGGATTGCTTCATGGATAGCGTCAAAAGAGGACTCCTTTTTTCGAGCCGAGATCCGAAATTTGCCGGAAAGATGGGAGAAAGCTGTCGCAAGCGAAGGACAATACTTTGAATAATATATCTGTAACCGCTTTTTCGCAATAAAGCAAGCAAGCGGAAGCAAAGTTGTACACCAGATATTTAGACAAAAATTTGATAATTTAATTTCGGTAATACTTTAGTCGGCGACCGCAGCAACCGTGTGGTTAGCACTGCGTACTGACATTCGGAAGTCTCAGGTTCATATACCGATGCTACCAACATACAAAAGTTATGGAAAATTAATTTAAATAAAAAATTAAGATAAATTTTCTAATTGCGGTTGCCGGGAATGTCAACCCCTCCGAGTATATTTCTGATATGAAAGAAAATCAGTACGTAATGCTGACCACTCGGCTACCGCGGCCATCAAAAAAGACCCTAACCTATTAATAATATTGGTAAAAAATAGCAGAAGTGAAGAGTATTTAAATTATAAAGCTTAGAAACGTATAAACCTATAACACCTTGGCGTCCATAACGAGTCAAACCTCCATGAAGAGAATGACAAACTATCCTTTTAAAAAGCAACGGCTTTTGATGTCGAAGCAGATCCAAAAAAAAAATACTAATGGTAATAAAAATTAATGAATGCAAACTAAATAAAATAATATTTGTTTTAATAGTTTAATAATTGAATAGTTGACGAAGTCAACGCTTCCAAGAGACACATGTCAGCTTCTACTATTCAAACTGATTTTTATATATACGAACGTATTCGTTTGGCAGCATCTTTACCAAATACTGTTTACATCATCCGCACCAGTATACAATTCTATATTTAGTACACACATCGTTCATTTAAATACATGCTTATATTGTAAATATTTTTTAATTATCCCATAGATCTTCTTCAACACAACACCACAAGCGGACCATTTCGGAAACTCGGTCGACTCTTTAGCAGCTGTCTACGCCAAACTACAAATTCTTCCACCATCAAATACGTATTGGAACAGTTAGGCGGTTATCTTCCTGTTGGTGCGGTTGGTCCTATATCGATCTCTTCTCTGATTAAGAAAATTTATAATTTGGGACCTACTCCTCTTGTTGATATATATTATGACTTGAGCTATGGTCGTCGTCCACAAGTCATTTTAATAATAAGTGAACCGGGAATTTCATCCCCAATTTTAGAGGTAAATAGTTACATACGAGTTTGTATGTTAATATTCATGAAAAAAAATATTTGTAATTTTCTTTAATCTGTTTTCTAAGAATAATATTCGTTGGTCTGGACCAAAAGCACCGCCGCATCAGTTCAAACAGGAAAAATATAAACTCCTTAATCAATTATTGGATGATTTTTTACCAAAAGAGCTTTCTTTTGATCAAAAGAATACGGAAAAGGAGGCTATAACGGCATTTATCACCGAAATCAACCGCGTAAGTCGTAAATAAATATAAGTAGTTATTTATTCATTATATCATATTAATTTTGGATCCAAGTATACGTAAGAAGAAGACGGAGAAGAAGGATAGACATATTGACAATGTCAATATCAGAACTAGGGGCTTTGGGTCTTTGTAAGCAATTCACTGTTTGATTGTACTAAAACTAATCTCTCGAAGTTTTGAGATATTTGAACGATAATTGGTATGCGCTGAGATTAAATGGCTATGGTGGATACATACATACGAAGTGTGACAATTAAGTAATGAGACTGATTCCATAAAAACCCGTATATTTCAAAATTATTATATAACTTTGCCATCCCCTTCAAAGTAATCCCTTTATGCAGCTATACAACGATTTCAGCGCATTTTCCATGCTTCGCAACATTTCTGGCACGCTTCGACTGGGATGTCCGGGAGTACCCTCGTCACGGCCGCCTGGATGACCTCAATCCTTTAACCACCAAGTATAAATCAAGTTATTTAAATACAGATTTGATGATATGCACGGACTATTTGAATTTTTTTTTTTCAAATGAAATCATGTATTTTAGAGGTATTATTGTAAATAACTTTGTAGAATTGTTATAGAATTGAATCCTTTGTGTCACTTGATAATTTTTTGGGAACTAAATGAAGATTAGATGAAATTTGTGAATATCGACGGTCGAAAAATACCAATTTCAACTAAAAATTCTAGCTCAGTTCTTTTTATCTTTAATTAGGAAGGATCAAGGCGAAAGGTTTAAAAAATTTAAATTTTTCTTTTGTTTCAATTCTATGAACCGCATGGCGTTGCACTTGTTTAGTGTAGTCAGATTCCCAATTAATGAATGGAAATTGATTTAAAATATGTGAAGATTTTTTTCGACAATAGGAGTTCGAAGTAAGAATTTACTGTATCTGCAACGACGCCAGAAGCCTCACAATAAGTTATCAAGTCTTAAAAAATAAATAAAAATATAAAAGCCCATAAGCACCTCCCAGTTTTTGGCACTGGTAATTTTGCTAGCGTGTAGTGTTATATCGAGAACGTTCTGCGAAGTGGGGCCAATATATGTTGGTTCCTTCCCCGATTAGTTACTTCTATATTACTTATTCGAATATAAATTGACTCTTTTCTTGGTAACTCCGCTACCTTAGACAGTGTAATCAGCATTGAAGTCTGCACCTATAACCATGAAGTTTCGCTTACCTTGTGAAGCGACTAATCAAATTGAAGTTCTGTTTTTTCTGCTTGCATCTATTCATTACATCAACAAATATTGAATATTCTAAAAAACTAATTAATTTAAATAACAAAATAATTTTTCAATATGACATACCAATTCAAAAAATTCATAATTTTATAGAAAATTGAATGAAAGATTCCAAGAAAAAATACATCAATAATTTTGCAATAACCGCAACATTGTTAAATATATAAATTATAATTTTTTTAAATTATGTCGATTGAGCAAGATAATAATAAATTAATAAAATAATTGTCTCCCAGATATCCTTCTTCTGTAAATAATTTGTCAGTCTCTGGTAGTTCGCTGTTAACTAGTGCTGATATACAGGCCTTTTCTGTCGAGGTAATAAAATTTACTGAATATTCCATTCACTGAGTTCACTGTCACCCTGTAAATTTTGTCACCATCGAAATAGGAGGTAACAAAAATATCTGCTGTTTGATTTTGTGTTGTAAATTTGAGAAAGAAATAAAAAACCAAAACGGGTAGGCATATTTTAGGACTGGAATTCATTGAAGATGAAGAAAAAAGTGCAAAAGCCGTATTTTAAGAAGTTTTCGATACTAAAAAATAGCGCTTTAATTTGTAAGATAACGTTTTCATCCAGTTTTTTGTTTTCCAGGCATATTTTCCATAATAAGTTTCAAATATTTATGATTTAATAAACAAATTAATAAAACTTTTTAATTTTTTTGTGCACCATCTTCCATTTCGATGTAAATATTTTTCTTTTTACTTTATCAACTGGCTAATATAATTTGGCATGGACGAAAAAAGCAGTGCTGCCAATTTTTTTTTTCATTTATTGTAACCATTTCGCCAGAATACCAAATTCAATTTCGGGTGTTAAAGAAAAGTAACAAAAACTACTTTACCGGTAACAGTGAGGATAGGCCTGATAGTCTTTTACTAATATCATATAGAGGTGAAATAGTATCTTCCCGTGGGTGGAAAAAATAGCAATTGGCACGCCCCGGTCCTTCTCTTTAATATACGTTATTTGCTATAACTACAGTTTGTTACAGAGAGCGTGTATCAATTATTCTTTATCGAGAACATAAAAAAAAACTTTTTGTTTACAGCAGAACAAAATGTTTGTTTATAGATAGTTGAGTTGTTGTGGTTTCCAATAAGGGTGCTGAACAAGAAACCTTTGGACTTTAATTTAGCAATCTAGTAATCAAACACTTAGGGCGTGGTAAATCCTCAACATTGAGAAGACTCTCAAAGTTATACCGTAGCTGATAAAAATTTTATCGTAAATTAGTTCAAAATCGACCTTTTCAAAAATTGAAAAGTTTCTCCATTGTCGTATATCGTATTCTCAACTTTTTTAAAAAAATAATGGATCTGTAAACTTACATACATGTATTCAGATTTTCTTTATTTCAATTATAATTTGTTTTGCGTTCAACTCCTCCGAGTGTTTTTCGCAATAGAATAAAAAAGTTCTTATTAAAATCCGTCACATGTTTGGAGTGTGTTTCTACTCCATATTCTACTTACACTCGGATGGATTGACATACTCTGCTGAGAGGCATTTTTTTTAAATAATATTGCTTGCTTATAAATTAAAAAAAAAACATCTAATTTATGATATATAAATTTTATATTAACAGATTCGTCTAGAACATTCACTTCGTGGCTTCTGGAATAGCTCAGTATTGTACAATATCTCTTCTTTGCAAGAAATGTATCCAATTGTAAGTATAAATATTAATGAACTGTGTCTATCATGTTTGTGTACTAAATTATTATTGATATATTCCATAAAATAAATTATGTAGCGTTTCCCAATAATCAATAGGTTAATTAAACTTGTATAACATACCATTATCTGAACCCTTTAAACTACGATACTACTAAACTCGTATTACGTATAAAAACTGGTATATTATATATTTTTTATTTTATACATAAGTTAATAAGAACTCCTTTCGGAAAGATACTCGTAGTCCAAAGATTCCAGTTAATGTTCTAACTCTCTCTGGAGAAAAGTGTAAGGGACTATGCTTTGTGAAAATGGAGATACTTTAATTAGCATAGACTGTGTAGGGTGGGTAAATTGGTGCAGCTAGGCACTACTGTGTCGAAAGCCAAATATTATAAAAGTGAACTGATATTTTTTAAATCTATAAAATTTAAATTAATAAATAATTACACGCAACCTGTAAAATAACATTAGGTAGCTAACCGAAAAATTTGGCAAACAACAACACAGAATAATTAACTTTAGTTGTTCCACTAGTTTGAGTTAAAGTCGCTAAGGGACTAATTAAATCGGAAGGTAGCACAAAATTGGTTTTCACAATGTCCGGTTAGGGCGCATCTGTCAATTAAGTTACGGTTAATTTAACGCTAACAGTGAATGGCTATTAGCTCTTAACCAGAAGTTAATTTGACAGCTGGAAATTGTAAAATAATAAATAAAATAGTATACCGGTGTTGGCTTTAAAATAAATTTTATTATGGCAAATATTGAACGTACTGCCTGTCTGGCTACGTGGATTCGGAGGCGTATTTAGAGGGAACAAACAGAAATAACTTTTTTTGATAAATATAACGAATTAGTTTTTATTCGTAGACATCGTCTTTCCAAAATTAAAGCAAAATACGATTTGGAAAATTAGAAGTCGCACTGAAAGGTGTCACGTTAGCCGTGAAATAAGAAGTTACACACACAAATTTATATCTAACAATTCAGTCATTTATTCATATAATTCACTTTATTCATTTAATTAAGCAATATTATAAAAACACAAGTTTCACTGACTGTATTGTGGGCCTTCAGTTCCTCTACTCACCTCTTTCTCACCCGTTTCGCTTATACCAAGAGTTGCCATATGCTTACAAAGGTTTGTGAAAATAATGTACAATACTTTGAGTAAATAAATATTGTTGATAATTTATTTCATTTTGCAGGCATAAAGCAGCAGAAATTTTGCTTTTATCCTTACGTTTTTATGCATCGGGAAGAGTTTTAAATTGTGTTTCGGTGTTGGACACAATAAAAGTGGCGATTGCCAGTAAATAGTACCCATTGCTACCGCGGCACTTGTCCAATCATTCCGCAGAGAACCGTAAAAAGCAGGGCAATTGAGAGCACAAAGCACACATTTGGATTTTAAATGCTCCAAATTCAACTTGAATTCTTGAATATTTTATGCCAAGTCCCAAATGAATGAATTCACATTCAATTTGTTCAGTTTTGGAAAAAAAGAATCACTATTTCAAAAATGTTGAGGTCTTCTTGTCGGCTACTGAAATTTGTCGCTTGGCAAAATATAAAAAAAAAAATTTTTAATTTTTAATACATAATGACATATAAATCAAGTTCATATTATATACAACACACTAGATTTCAGGCCACAAGGGCATTCGGAATCGAATTTGTTAATGAGATTGTCATCCGTCTCTCTACCGGACTAGTACGGGATTACGCAAGTCCATGATAACCATTGGCGGCCGCGGTAGCCAAGTGGTGAGCATTGCGTACTGAAATTCGGAGGGCTTGGGTTCAAATCCCGGTACCACCAATATCCAAAAAGTGATTGAAAATTAATTTAAATAAAAATTAAGTTAAATTTTCTAATTACGGTCGCCCCTCGGGTGGGAGCGTCCATCCCTCCGAGTGTATTTCGGATATGAAATAAAGCTAATCATAAAAAACCATTATCCGTTCGGAGGCGGCTTAGTTTAATCTGTAGGTCCTTTCATTTGTTGGAAAAATATCAAGACCTAAAACCACAAATTGGAGGATATTTCTGAAAGGCCTGAGAGATGCATCGGAGTGAGATACATTACATTATAACGCAAGTTCAAGGTTTAGAAAAATCTCTCGGTATCTAAAAACAGCATTTTTTTTGGCTTAGCTTTGAATAAAGTAGGATTTTTGCTAAGTGAGCTCCCACTTCTACGAAACTGTCACATGAGACTCCAATATCAAGTCCTGGAGGTGGAGCTTTAATTGATGGTGTGACGACACAACGACCTTCGTGATTGCGGATTGCGGTTTTGTTTTTATGAAGTCATTCACATTTCTTTTCCTCAACTGTCACAAATGTTGTCTGCTTGTCTAGTGAGGTCTCATTGAAGTTAGTAAGAACAGTTGAAGGATTTCGCGGTTTTACATCTAGAACGGGGTCGGTCAGAATCCAGCCGAATACTGCTCGCTGTGCCATGAGTAAACCGGGAATATTGAATTTAACGCCACTTAAAATAACCATAGGGTACGAATCTCCGCCTATTAAAATGTCTTTGTGTTGACTCTTGAAAAAATTGTTGTCCGCTAGAGGGACAGACTGGAGGTTTTTTCGCATTTACCCGCTGATTGTTTGGGATGGAAGGAGGCCCGTTAGTTTAGGAAGTAGCATTGCAACGACTTTAAACCTGAAGTATCTGTGTTGTAGATAGTAGACTGCGAAAATCTATAGTCACATTTGTTTGCCAATAGGGAGAAGGGTTTCTATGAGGCACAATGGCAATTCCTTCAATATTGCAAAAAGATATAGAGCAAACCGGTGCTCATTTAATATAAAACGAATAATTCTAACCATGGTAAATAAAGCAATAATGGATTACTTCTTCATATTTCGTATATAAAGTGTCCAACCCTGAGACCAAACAACCTAATGATCCCGCAAGCAAGGAAGAAAAATACCTAGGCTTCCACCTAGATAGGGAGTTGACCTACTAAACTAAACTTAAATCCGACAGCTTAAACTGGTTCTTGGGTAAAATTTCAAGCCTAAGGCTGTAAAAAGCACAAAATCTTATTATACAGGCAAGCCACTAAGTCAATATGCATGTATGGATACAACTATGCGGCTCTGCTTATGCTTTCACCAAATTCAGCGTTTTTGATCAAACACGATTGGAAACCTCACAACACTACTAAAATGGTAAACATAGATAGTACAAGATACTTTAGAAAAATACCTACCGAAACCTCAAAACCATCCGAATACCCAGCGAACATTTATTACTGCCCGATATTAAGCTAAAACTCGATACTAAAAAGGCAGTGTTTTCAGACGATAATAACAATCGCAAGAGTATCCCAGTGTATTTTATACTTTGGAACACATTATCGTATCGGGCGATCGGGGAGGCGTCGGTCCTTCAGAAAGCTGTAAAAAAGACCTATTTGCCTGCTGCCAAGCTCTCAATAAAACAGTTGTAGAACTATTGTAATAAAACAGTACCGTTAATTAAATTACATTTTATGTGAAAAAAAAACCAGCAAAAACGACTAAACTATCAACTCACCTAAGATGTTGCTGCTGTGGCTGCTGAATCAAAAAAAGGGCTTCAGGCCGGCAACATTGGCCTTTTAAAGGTTTCCAAAAAAGGCGGAAAACCCAAACAGGGGTAACTGGACTTTTCCCATATATTTGAAGAGTCACTTAGGTGAGAACAGAAGACAGCAGCGACATCTCTAGGTAGAAGTTATGGCTGCTGCTCAGTGATGCACGCGTAAAAAGTATCAAAAACGTAAAAAAATCCATGCCGGATTCTATAATAAATAACTTATTATCCTTATACCATGCGGCCAACCTTTCGAAAATAACTGTTTGCTGTGGCCATTGAAATTGGAAGTTCTCATCCGAAGCTTTATTGTTTCGTTTATAGGAGTTCGTTTCTACTTTTATTTGACAACCTCGCTTAGGAGAAAGCGGGGATTACTTGAACACCTATATATAGCGAGCCACTTTCTTCAAGACCATCGATTAAACGTACATATAATAATATAAAATTTTCAAAAACGAGAGTAAATACAAATATATTATCAATTTCCTATTTTTTTATTTTTGATCTTAAACATACGTGTATTTCTGAAGTACTCTCTATAGTACTGTACCGTGATTCTACAATTCAAAAAATAATTAAACGAAACAATAAGTTATACACAGCATAAATGCAGTACAGCAGAGAACTTAGAATAACGAGAAGGTGCAAATTCGTTGCAACATCGAATTTCCTTCAAACAATTTCTGAAAAACTTTGATTAAGGGATTCACTACACTTGAAATTACAGCCACTGTAAAGCTTAGCAGAGTTTCTGCTAAAAACAGACTATGTACCTAATGTTCTTAATATCTGTTGCGTTACTTAAGTAGTTAAGAGAAAAATATAAAAACTATGAATATAATTAAAAAAAAGGAAAAAAAAGAAAATGCTAAAAAAATTGTATTTTTAAAAAACATTTAATATATTAAAATGTGTTTAAAAAATTTGATGCGAAGAAATAAGCTGCAAATATATTTATTTTAATTCTAGAGTTTTCACTATGAATTGACTAAAATTATTATTAATTTTTATTAAGTAAACTACGAGGCCTTGTTGTTTGTATGAACTGAATATTTGTTATACAACAAAGAAAAAATGGTAGAAGTGACAGCTGTTTCGGAGATCACCACATCTCCTCATCAGACTTCTTATGGCAGGGATCGAACCAACGGATCCTGACTTAACAGGCGAGTGTTCGACCACTGCGCCAACATCAGCCATATAATTTGTTGTTGTATTATTCAATTCATTATTAACCAACAACTATTAAGTGCGCTAATTTAGCCGCTATTTTTTCTTAACAGCTTGGTTAGTGTATTGTGTTGGAATCCTCTATACTTTCAGGTGTTAATTGACTGAAAAATGTATAGGAAGGATTAAGATTTCAGGTTCAACTTATTATTATTATTATTTATAGTTCATATGTCGAGTTAAATACTGTCATACACACAAGTCATTCAATAAATATCAGTTATGCCAACGAAATTTCAAAGTGATGAGTGGCGCAATGGTTTACGTCGATTGATTTTTGCTCAAGCTGCGCGGGTTGAAATCGTTCTTTCGCTTCCTTTTGCGTTTTTTTTTTTTTGAAGTTGCCAAATTTTTTGATCGTTGCCACTGAATTACTTGTTGATTCGGGGTGCGAGGGAAAACAAGTTGGCATACTTTTATCTATGTATGGGTCTTTCATATGCATGCAGAGACCTTTGAATGTGTTTGCATTTGACTTCAGCTCAGCAAGAATATCTGATTTTTTGCAAGTTTTTGCAAATTTCACCATTGTTGGAATGATATTGCTGGTGGATGGCGGGTAAAAGGGAAGGAAATAGGTAAATTTTTGGGCGTGTGCGTGATTTTCGCATACACATTGGTCGCTTTGAACGTGTGTGTCTCAACTTCAGAGCAACTCGAATTCTAATTTTTGTTAATTTTGTCATCGTCGCGAAGAAAGCGTTTTGTGGTTGGCGGGATGAAAAAGGGAAGGGCATGTGCATTATTAAGATTGTGTGCATTTTTCATATACATATTAAAATGCTTAAATGTATTGGGTTGCCCAAAAAGTAATTGCGGATTTTTTAAAAGAAAGTAAATGCATTTTTAACAAAACTTAGATTGAACTTTAATCAAATATATAATTGCCATTTTGTTCGATAACCTTTTGCCGTTTTCCTGGCAAATTTAGTATTTCACGCTCATAGAACTTCTGGCCTTTATCTGCAAAAAACTGAACCAAGTGCGATTTTATAGCCTGCTCCGCGCGTTTTCCTTTACGGAAATAATAAAGTAAAATATGACGAAAATGCTCCTTTGTAGGCTCCATATTAAAATTGACGCCAAACAAACAAATGTAAACAAAATTTCGTGCACTTTTTTTCGAAAGCAAGCTAAAATTAACAGCTGATAACTGACAGAAGAAAGAAGGCAATTACAGAGTCACAAGCCGTTGAAAAAATTTGTCAACGCCGACTATATGAAAAATCCGCAATTACTTTTTGGGCAACCCAATATGTGTTTTCCCTTTGGCGTGAATTTAACATCAATTTCAGATTTTTAGCAAAATTTGACTACGCTTGAGGAAACTGTTTGTTGATATGTGGTAGTTGTTTTTTTTGCACTTATGCTTCTTCTTCTTATAGCAAATAGCTTTTTACAAAAAAAAAACGGACGCAGAGGAGTTGCTCTGTTGTTTTTGTTATTTATAGTATGAATGGCTTGTGGTTATGATTAAATGGGAATATTTGAAGTTATTTGCTATTAAATGACTTAATGCATGCTTTCGGTATTACATATAAATGTCGATATTTATATGCATAAGTACATATGTATGTATAATATATGTAAAATATTTAATTAATATTAAAATAAAATATTTAAAATTATTTAATATGAAATAGCTATTTAACTTTCTAATTTTTACGAATTATTTAACCCAAAAAGCAAGCATATTTTATCCACCGCCAAACATGCATACATACATATGTTTGTATGTACATATTATGTCTTCATTATTATATAAATTATAAGTTATTATTATAAGTTCTCTGGTAGAGTACGTCAGCTGTATACCCAGATATACTTCTGTTAAGCAAAGCGGGGATTTTTTCCTATCAAGAATTGTCTGTTTCTTATGATAATGTAAATAACCGCATAACTATCCCTTCTTATAATTATAGCTCGATTGGGCCGACTTAATACCGAAAGAATGGAATAAGCCGATTGTTGTTCGAAGTTCGGATTATTTGAAAGCTCTGGAACTGATCCTAGTAAAGCATTCCACCAGAGTTGCACATAACTCGATTCTTGCTCTTTTTGCTCTTGGGATATTGCCGCAAGATAGACCAAGCCCAACAATATGTACACGAGCTACAATGTGGGCGCTACCAGATATCACTTCTGCACTTTTCATGGCATACTATTCAAAAAGTGACCTCCACAGCTATATTCAAAGGGTATAACTATAATTGAATAAGCATGTTTTAACTTTTTTTTTTGTAATCTTTGTAATTGCTAATAATTGATAAATTTTTTTATTTTAGACTGATCTAATTTTCAAATCCCTTAAAGCGCACTTAAAGCGTGCCCCTTCACTTAAAGGAGCAGCATTGGTAAAATTATCATCACTAAGAATTCAATCTCAGCCCTGGGAAGGTTTCACTAACATAACAACAGCGACAAAGGAGCTGGAGTCAATGGATATATCTTCTGACAATTGGTTCCAGAATATATTGAAAATATTTAAAAGAAATAAATTGGATCCGAATTCATATAAAATGGACGTTAATTCACATGATACGTAAGTTTTCAAAATGGAAGCTCTCATATACATATATACAATAGATATATTTCTTAATTACAATTTATGTATGTAGCAACCGCTCAAACAGTCATAGATGGAAAAACCCTGTTCGGTAATCATTCATAACACAATAGGTCATTACCTAACTGAACATCCCTCGGTGTCTTTTCACTTTTTTTCCTGTAACCGCGGTAGACGAGTAGTAAGGGGTTCAAGAGTTTGCCCGCGGTGAGACATGCCTGTCGTAAGAGGCGACTAAAATCCAATATTTGCCGCGACAATCGGGTTCTGATACCGCAACGACCCGGATTTTTATTCGGCCAAGGACTGACACTCCTGTAACATCCGTCAAAAAGTACTTTGGGGAAAATTTTGCGGTTACAACAACAACAACAACAGTGGTCAGCATTGCGTAGAGCCATTCGGAAGGCTCGGGTTCAAATCTTGCTGTCGCCCTAACATCCAAAAAAGTTATAGAAAATGTATTTAAGATAAATTATAACTTTAAATTATCTAATTGCGGTCGCCCCTCAGCAGGGAGTGTCCACCCCTACGAGTGTATTTCGGACATGAACTAAAGGCTCCTCATAAATAAAAACATCATACGTTCGGAGGCGGCTTAGTTTAAACTGTAGGTCCCTCCATTTGTTGGAAAAAACCTCAAGACGCAAATACACAAATTGGAGGAGGAGCTCGGCCAAAAAAATCGCTTCAGCGGTTACAATGCTTTTATTTTTAATCTATATTATTTAATATCTATTTTTATATTTGATTTTTTTCACAAACAAAAAAGTCATGTTCTTAGTTTAGAAAGTGGTTTAAGTCCATTTTAGATTCTGAAACACAGCTTATTTTTCTAGTAAAGTCTACAAAACATATAACGTTATATATTCTAACACGTTTAACGTCACAAAGCCATAAAAAAAATTAATACCACTTAACAATACTTTGGAAACAAATCAAACACAGACCCACGAATATCTCGATATAAGATAAAATTGACTTAAACCACTTTCCAAATAAACGACTCATATATGTATGTACGTGGTATTGCATTTTACGTATACGCGGTGTTGCACTCTAAATGAGAATATGATGGGGCTGGAGTTGGCTGCGGCGTTTAAGATAAGAAGATAAGTGAACAAAGAATAGTTTCCGCAAATATTAGTAGTCTTTAAACGACCATGGATGATTAACCCCTGACAATGGATATTGACTAACATTTTTAAAAGACAAAATAAAATTAGACATCCTAATAATAACCGAACTTTATATTTAAATCATACAACATACAGCGCCATCTATTGAAAAATCCTCTTTCAAACGCACCTAACATCATGCAAGTCGGATGACAGATGTAAAAGTGACAGCCATTTCAATAAAACCAAAAGTGTGCTAATGGTTCAAAAATAAAATGGAACAAAGAGCAAATACAAAATTTTGAGTCAAACTTGAAAAAAAATTAATGAAAAAAGTTTATTGTGATTATTGTATGAGTCGTACGCAAGTTTATATGTGGTTTACACGTTTTAAAAATGGTCGTGAGGATTTAAATGATGACCCTAGAGCAGGACGTCCAGAAACTAGTAATCGTGCAGAACTGGTGGAAAAAGTCCGTGAAATCATAGGTATCGATGCAAATTTTACTACGAGAATGTTGGTTGAAGAATTGAATACGAGTAAAAACACTATTTGGAGAATTTCAACTTAAGATTTGGGGAAAAGAAAGGTCTGTACGCGATTTGTTCCATATGAATTAAATGACGACCAAAAAATCGCTCGAATTTTTAATAAAAAAAGGGATTTCTCTCATCGACCATCCTCCGTATTCGCCTGATCTATCACCATGTAACTATTTTTTATTTCTAAAACTGAAAACGAAGATGAAGCGAGCATTTTATGATGATATCCCAGCCATTCAAGCAGCCGTAACCGAGGTACTGAAGAACATTTCTATAAATGACATAAAAAAATCTATGCATGCGCTGGTTGATCGTTCCAAACGTTGTGTTGAGTCAAATGGAACCTATTTTGAATAAATAATAACTTTCAAAGATAATATAATGTGTATTTTATTTTTAATCCAAAAAGTTCGGTTATTTTTGGGACGCACCGAGTATGTTTTTGCTCTGAAAATGCACTGAGTATTTTATGAATAAATTGAGCTGAAAAATCTTTAACATTTAATCGAATTCAGCATAGTTATTTTTTATTGTATGTATATTAGTTGAGAGCTGTAAAATAATTAAAAATAATTTATCTCTCTTTCTTCTAGATGGGCTTATCCGATTGTCGCAAAAATATTTTATGACACATTAAGTCACTCTATTGGTATGTAAAATAGTTTTCTTTATAATGGCATTTAAAATACAATACATTTATTTATTGAAATATACACGCTGAAAGTCAAGTCGTGTCAAAGACAGTGATTGCGAGAAATCGTCTTTAGAACTAGGTGCGTACAAATCAATACAAATTTCCGCTGATATAGCAGATTGGCAGCCTAGCTGAGCATAAAGCTGGCCGATGCAAGAAAACCGAAACTAAAGGTCTTTTCATTAAAATATAGTATTTATTGATCATTTAAAACGCTGTACAGCTGTGTTCCGTAGTGACGTTATGTTTCAGCGCGATATGTCGTTTATATTGTTTACAGCGCTCAACGGAAAAGGATGCTCGATTTGGTAATTTGAGTTCCTGAAGTTGCGAACTAAAAGGCGGATCGCGTTCAAGCTCAAAAGTGTATTTTTTGTTCGTTTTTTTCTTTCACGTATATTTGTAGGAATAATAAGAATAATTATAATAAACTAACTGCGTTTAGCGGCTGCGCGAAGTGAGGTGCACTGGACGGCGACTTAAAGCACATTGTTTTAAAATTACGTTCGCATCCGTTCGTACTATCCTATTGTACTACCTTTTTAATTCACACTGGAACACCCAGTCACATGTTGCTGTGGCGTTTTGTGCTTTGTCCAATTTGTTATAATTTATTTGTAGTTTTTTGGCATTTGACACCACTAAAAATGGTACGATTCACGCATTAACAAAATGCATTGAAATTGTTCGAAGAACTAAAACATTTTTCGGTGTTCGTGAAACATCTTGTCGGCTCGCAATACAGAAATTAATGGCGAAATGGAGTTGTTGGGACAAGTTAGCGATGTGAAGAATAAAACTCGTGCACATCGCTCAAGTACAACTGAGAATATTGCTCCTGTAACCTAAATTGTCTTTGCTAATTTCGTCCTGAAATGCATGAAAATGATCCGGAATTTTGCGGAAAATAAGGCTGGCGCAACAGTTATAGAAAATACTCGTACATTGCGGTATCGAAAGATGATTAATGATTTTTTATGGCTTGAATTGAATAGTATTGATCTGAAGAACATTTCAACTTTCAACAAGACGGCGCTACGTGCCGCACAAGCAACGAAACCATCGATCTTTTAAGGGAAAAGTTTCTCGACCATCTCTCGACTATCTCTCGAAGAAGTGATCGCAATTTGCCACGAAGATCTAGTGGTTTAACACTATCTTCCGTGTGACATCTTTCTTTTTTTGGGGTGTTTCACGTCTACGCCAAGAGCAAAAGGGCAACGTCGATTATCAACCTTAAAGATGGAGTTCGTGAAGCTGTAGATGGCATACAGCAGATATCTTGCGACTTGGTGATGGAAAATTTCATAAAAAGGTTCGATTTTGTAAGCCTAGTTGTGGCGGTCATTTGGCTGAGATTGGTATCCATTACTAATGGCATATCCGATCATTTATTTAAAAAAAATGCCATTTTTCTTTGAGTTTCAAAAAAACATCAATAATTGGAAAATCCTGTAAAAGAGGAGAACGAGAGATAGGATAAGAACAGCTAATAGTTCTCACTATATTATTTATCTAGCTTCGTAGTTACATAAAGCGAAATGTGAATATGAATCCCGTTCGATGTAAGCCACACGCCACAGCTCTGTTTCTGAGGCACTTTAAGGTTAAACATAAAACCATAGTTTCCAAACGCTATGAGCGCAGGAACTCCGTCAACCTCAGAACAACTTTCGATCTGTTCATCTGGGATCCTCTATTCGGAAGTAAAGAATTAAACTTTATGAAGAAAAAGTAGTGTTCAAAGTAAGCCAAGCAAAAATCTACCCGTGAACCATATTTCATGCGAGTCAACTTCTCGGATGTTTCTATAAGATTAAACTATTCCTCAGCTGCAAATATTTTCAAGTTTCAAGTTTTCAATTTTAACAAATCTGTGGAATCGTTCTCGAGTTTTGTAATAATAATAATAAGCCCATATGCGCTTCACCCGCCCAACCGACACGACTGGCGACATCCGCATAACGTACGGAATATGCCGAGTCATGGCTGGGAAGCGTTTGTTAAGCGTCCAAATTTAAAACTGTTCAGCTACAGAAAAAATAATTATTCAACAACTGAAATTTCGTAATTATGGAATTTTAAAATTTACTTGTTGAGAGAAGCAAGAATAGTTTTTGTGATGTTAAAAAGTGAGTCTGCGAGATCGAAGGTGTTGGAAAGAAAATTAAAATCTATTTAAATCATAATATGTTTTACATGACTGTTAACGTTGACAAACAAACCAGTATTTATATAAATAAAGCATTATACACAAATATTTCACTTATATCAGGTGTACAACTTTGCTTCCGCCCTTTTTTTTCCAAAATTAAAAGCTTTATTGCGAAAAACTTTCTCCCATCTTTCCGGCAATTTTCGGATCTCGGCTCGAAAAAAGGAGTCCTCTTTTGACGCTATCCATGAAGCAATCCATTTTTCCAATTCTTCGAAGGATTGAAAATGTTGATCTGCCAGGCCGTGTGCCATCGAACGGAATAGGTGGAAGTCAGAAGGGGCGACATCTGGGGAATACGGCGGGTGGGGCAAGACTTCCCATTTCAGCGTTTCCAGGTACTTTTTGACCACTTTTGCGACGTGAGGCCGAGCATTGTCGTGTTGGAGGATGACTTTGTCATGTCGCTCTTGATATTGTGGCCGCTTTTCTTTTAGCGCGCGACTAAGGCGCATCAGTTGCGTTCGGTAGCGATCTCCTGTGATGGTTTCACCCGGTTTTAAGAGCTCGTAGTAAATCACACCGAGCTGATCCCACCAAATACAAATCATAACCTTGGCGCCGTGAATATTCGTTGAAACCACTCCCGACACGTTCTTTCACTCAGAGCAGCATCACCGTAAGTTTCTGAGAGCATTCGATGCGCTTCAGCTGCATTTTTTTTTCGAATTGTAACAGAAAAGTAAAACTTCCCGCAAATGGCGAGAATTAGGCACATAAACGGACATTTTCGAGCGTGAATAATACGAAAACAAGAACAACTGTCACTGAAACGGCGATGACAATTCGTTAGGCACTGTCCACACTCACTTTAAAGGCATTATCATTTATGTATTTCAACCAGCCTCAGCCATTACAGCCTCCTATCGGAATCTACACATTTTTTGTAGAAAACTAAAGGGTCTATAAAAAAAGTTCTTAATAGATTTGTGAGTTAGTCAACATTATCTATCCAATTTTATAATATACATACATATGTACCTCTGTTTTTCGGCAACAAAAACTAGCGTTCACATATGTAATATAACCGTAAATAGCATTTGAGAATGCGACCACTACCACCAATATAAATATAGTTATAGACTTTCGGCTAGTTGGATCCATCGGATTTACTACGTAATCAATGCGGAAAGTAGTTAACAGGTTATCGTCGTTGGCAATGGTATTGAGACAGTATTCCATCTTTTGTCTGTGCGCCATTCAAAGACTCCTTATGCACCATCGTTTCGTAACTGTGTTTCTGTAACCGTTGACTTGGGGAATCTGATTAATGTATCCCGCTGACTCATTTTTGTTTCTCTTCCGTAATATCACATAACCGGATACTAGATGTGACACATTTTCATGGCGTGACACTATTTCAGTCTTTATTCCTATCGAATACACCCTCAATTTCAGGAGGCTTTGACATTCCCGGATAGCTTGATCTTACAGAAGGAAATACGATAAAATTCTAAAAGTGTGTCGAAATGGGGCCGGTGACCAGAATGCTGGCAGAGGCACAGTGGGTTATCTATAACACTAGCCAATTTTCAAAACCAATGCCCAGCGTATATAACCGTCGATCATCGATCAAAGAAAGAAAGAAAGAGTTAGGTAGTGATGGTCCCAATAGTTCGATTATGTGGGCTTCCCACCCTCATAGGAATAATATTAAACAATAAGTTCTGCCTGGAAGACGTTTTAGTAGCCTCGTAGCTTGAAATTAATATTTTCTTGAGAGGGTTTAGAGCCCTCCGTGAAGATGGCTATGTCACCCTGATCAAGAGCATATGCATTTCCCCATTCACTCCTTTTCGCCAGTTATCTGGAGAAGAGGTTGTCAAAAAGAAAAAATGCTGCCAAACTCCGCTGAAAACTGAGTGGATCCGACTACAACTATATAAATCCAGTTTTCAAAAAACGGTTTTAAGCCTTACCCTTTGCCAATGACCGCTTTACATGATAGCTTCCTTGATCTACACACCGTATTTCGGTCCCAGCTGAGCTTACTATCTAAAACCATTCAGGATATTTGTTTCAGGAGAGATCCACTAGCTTTACATCCGGCTGTATAAGATACATTTTTAGAAGATTATTATTTCCGCGGGAAAAATATTTTTAAGGGTTCTTTCAAGGTCTAAGATAATACTAAGCGTGTATTCTTGTACAGCCAGTCTTTTCTCTATGCGTCCAACAATGTTTGGGGTAACCTTTGGCGAATATAGACGTCGAGTAGCCAAAGCTTTTGGAAGAAACGAGGTCATACTAACTGAAATCGAAAATATTTTTGACTTACATATCCTGCGTTTTTTTGTATTGAATATCACCTTCGCCTTGGTCCATACGGTGGGAATATATCCTTCGAGTAGACAAGCTTTGTAGGTGTCGCATAATAGTGGGGACAAGATGTACTCCATAGAGGCAGCTCGAGTTCGTTGTCTGCAATGGGTGGTGCTTTTTCTCCGAGCGCGCCATTTACGGGAAGGGATGCTATTGGGATGCTCCTTAACTCGTAGCATAGTTGCTTCACTGTGCGACATGAGGAGGTTTCCTGGCGTAGTCCTGAGGGCAGTGTTCTGACAAGCCTGCAACTTCTTCATATGCGTCTCGTACGTGCTTTATAGGTTGCCAGCAAGGTTTCTTTATCTTTACCCCCGCTATCTCTACTGCCGGCTATCGCTTTGAATATTTTGATGCGGTTCTGGAGTTTTGCGGCAATTGCGTTCGTACGTGGAGTGAAGGAATAAAGGCTGTCGAGTGTGTGAATTTTCACGTCGTCAACCTTCACATCTAATTCGAGCCCGTATTCCTTCGTCCAGCTGGTGAAGAGGGTAGCCGAGGATTTCGTCGATTGTATTTTAGGTTGTCTTGCAGTGAAGAAGTGGGAAATGTCGGGGAGATAACAGTTCACTTTCGAACAACGGTCATCAACATCCTAGCCAGACACCAATATCGTGCAATCATCCACATACAATACAAGGTTAGGGAAACTCCTTTTCGTGGATGGAGATATGTAGAAATTAAACAGAAATGGGGAGAGGGAACCATCCTGCGCAACCCCTTGTTTAATTCTTCTAACTTCCGATGTTTCACCTCGGAATATTACTGATGATTTTGACTACTCAGGTAGCCCATGACCTACCTCTGCAACCCCGGTGGTAATGAGGATTCCTCAATGTCCGTCAGCAGCACTGAATAGTTGACGGTGTTAAAAGCTTTTTACAGATCCAGGGCTACCAGGACAGTTCGCGCGCAGGGTCGGTTATGGTTAAGGCCATGGACTATCTGGGTGTTTATGGCGCTAAGTGCTGTTGTGGTGCTATGCACTTTACGGAAGCCATGCTGATGTGCTGCAGGACGCAGATGGTGAGTGAAAGTCGGGAGCAGCAAGGCTTCAAGTGTCTTCGCTACTGGGAAGAGGAGATTTAACGGCCCTTGTTGATTAGCTTCTAAATTTCTTCATATTCAAGTTCAAATCAAAGAAATTTATTGTAGAAAATACAGTTTTCAATGAGTCAGATCATTCTCAGCTTGGAAGAAAACTTACTCTTTCATTATTGTCACTAATTTCATAGACTCTTTGAATAATAAATAGAACTACAATAATTTTTTCCAACATCACAAAAATGAAAACCGAACTCCGGTTCATTTGTGATGCTACTTTCTACATAAATGCTGAGAAAGGTTCTTTTCTTTCTTCAGTAGTGGTATGAGAAGCTCGGAGATAACTCATTATTTATTAAAAATCCAGAGTGATCCTTTAAAATACTAAATATCATACATATGGACATGACTTCTCTAGCTTTAGTAAGAAAATTTTATATATTTTAATTGGGATGGCAAAACCGGTTCCCAAATCGATTACCATGGAACAAATGTTCCATTGACCAACTATGAAGATGTTCAAATAGGAATCGCTCGCTTAAAAAACAACAAGGCGGGGAAAGCCGATAGATGGCCGGCAAAGCAATTCAAATACGTTGGAGACAAAGTGATAAGGTGCATGCACCGGCCAACTGAAGAGTAGTAAAAAATATTTGGGCAAGGTAAATCGTAAATATTAACTTTTCTAAGTGGTTCCCGTGCGACCTACATCCAAAAGTTATGGAAAATTAATTTAAATAAAAAAATAAGTTAAATTTTTTAATTGCGGTCGCCCTTCGGCAGGGAATGCCCACCCCTCCGAGCGTATTTCGGACATGAAATAAAGGCCCCTCGTAAGAAAACCATCAGCCGTTCGGAGGCAGCTTAGTATAAACTGTAGGTGCCTTCATTTGTTGGAAACACATCAAGACGCAAAAGCACGAATTGGAGGAGAAGCTCGGCAGAAAATCGCTTCAGCGGTTACGTAAACGCCTATTCTAGATATATATATATATATAAGTGCTCATATGTGAGCAGTACGTTAAATTTCATATTCTAAGATGCATTTTGTTTAACAACAAATACGCGGATGGACACGTCCAGATCTATTCGGCTTTTCGTTTTAGGCGCATAGGTATACTTTTCTGGAGACATATACCCTCTTCTTCTGGTGCTTACTTAATACGGATCAAATAATTTCTTTTTCATATTACGAGAGACAACATCTTAAATAATTTTATATAATTCTTTTCTTCTTTCTTTTTTTTTTAGTTGTACCTTTATCGGTGATACTAGTACCACATTTCGACAGCAGATTACCACCATACATACAGTACGCATCAGTTGGCGTTCACATTGCTAAGGAAATTTTAAGATCCATCACAAAAAGCTTCGATGACAAAGCAATGCGTTGCGTTCCTGAGTCGGTGAAAGTCTTTTCTAACCACAGCCAAATGGATCTTCTTATTCGCTCCGGAGGTATGCAAATATCATACCATTCCATGTTGTCTATCACGGGACCACTGAAGGGAATGGCGCGATTACCTGCATTAAATTTAACTCCCACGCAAATATTTTTCTTGTTATCGGCACAAGAAATGTGTGAAGAATCTGTGTACGCGGGCATAGATACGGACACTGCAGATTTCGAACATATGTGAGTAATAATTTATTTATTTATTTAGTCTAAGAACATTACTTTTTACTAGCGTATTATTACTATTATTTGTACTGGCAAAACTAATATTAAATAAATCAAAGATTTCCAGGTCGAAAACTTAAATTTTCTTTTCTTGCAAAGAGCATTAGATTGACCAATAATATTAATGATGAACGCCATGTAGAGATTGTCCTGTATTCGTTGAGAAAGAGCTTTGCTTAATCAATCCAACATCAACAGGTACAACTGTTGCAAGAGAGCTACTGCCTTTGATTTCAAAGCGAGCATCGCTTGAAACGTCATTGTCTGAAAACTCGTTTGGTATGGAACGGCTCGGTGAGGTGCTTTCCGATCCTGACAGAGCTTTTGGTATTGTCGCCAGTTTACATAGCTGCATAAGTTTTGCAGGGATAATGAAATCAGACATAGCGGCGTAGAGGCATTGCAGACATGATCTGGTTGTGATTTTTTCGGTCCGGAGTCAGTCAAGTAAACTAGTACTACAGACAAGCGAAATTTTCAGAAATATGCTCCAGGCGCTCATAAAAAGCATCTTGAGTCATATCGTCTTTCTCATCCAATGGGCATCAATCAGCAATAGGCGGATTATGGCGAAACTTTCATCTACAGAAGTGAATGCCAGTACCCGGCGACAGAGTTTCTCCCATTTGGAATTTCGCACTATGACCGTAAAAAGGCGGCTGGGTAAAAAACACCGTCTTTATGCCATCCATTGCACTTCTAAGATGGTGGTGATGTCAATGTTTAGGCTTATGAGAACATCAATCCGGGAAGCAGCACCTTGCCAATTAGGGGATCAAACCTTCCAGATGCTTGCCTTTAAATAATACTCCTTAATTCTATTGCCGTGATCGTCATTACTAGTAATTCACTTTTTTATTGGAGCTGGCTTCTACTCCGGATATACCGGAATGACTCCACTTAAACTTTCTCTCTTTTAGCCCTCAAGCTAAGGCTCAACACGGGTTGGTTACCGTAGAGGTTGCCCACGTTGGTAGGGCGCAAGAATTGGAGTTGACCCCAACCGACATAGTTCGTGGAAGATAAAAGCACTCCAGCATCGATGTTGTAGTCGCTGGTGGAAGCAAAGGCAGAGGAAGACCTCCACTCCGTTTGAACGATCAGGTGGAGAGCGACCTGGTTTCCCTGGGCTTTTCCAACTGGCGCCAAACTGGCGCACTATTGTTTAAGACACCGAGCAATCAGTCAGTCGTTGTGTATTTCATAGCTACCCCATAAGATGGTTTTGTCATCTGAGTCACTATTTTGGCTCGCTATAATTGTAAAGTCCATACCGTTCACTCCACGATTAATTTGTTTGCTCGGCTAAAAAGATTTCGTTATCAATGGCTCGTGTTACTCTTTACTTATAAACGCTAATTAAAATCCTACATATGTATGTGTATTATCTTTTTATTATATTTTAGATTGATTTGGCTTGTCGCTCAAGGAGGAAAAGCTTCGGAGGAATTTAAATGTGCACCTGGATCTGTGATGTACGATCAAAAAACTTGCAACGTATTATAAAAATATTCAACATTACATAGCTGATGTGATAAAATTATTAAAATAAATACATATGTTTGAAATTACTATAATTTCTAAAATTGACTTTCCGTAGCCTTTGTTAATAGATTAATGTTATGAATTAAAGGACTAAAGGTAAATTTAATTTATCTGTTGTACAAATGCAGTTTAAAAAATTGATCTTAAATCTTTTGCCTTAAATTTGATTTTATCACATTAAGGGGCACACCTAGTGTACGGGCCTATAAAATGTGATTTTTTGGAATTTTTATTAAAAAAAAAATACTTTATCAATTATTTTCAAAATTTTAAGAATATATTCAAACATGTTTCAAGAATATACAGTGGAATTTTTGAAGAAAAAAATTAAATATTTTTTAAGTCATAGTCGAGTGAAGTGATTCCGGCCTTCTCCGTGGATGAAATCTACAAAAAAAAATTCTCGTTGAACTAGACAATATTGTCTGTACAAGGACCTACTATAAAAAAAAAAATAAAAATTGACAATATGGCGGCGTTGTAAAAAAAATGGTTGAATTTTACCCAAAATTTTGGTGGTTTTTGGCCTGCCAATCTATGAAAAAAGATCGATTTTTTTGAAATTTCACACTAGGTGTGCCCCTTATGTTCATTAATTTATAATGTTATTATTAAAATTGTAATGAAGTATTTATAAATTGCGCAATAAATAAATTTAGACAGTAAATGTTATTCAGCCGGGCTATCAAATCAACCTCATTGACGGCTTGGTTAAGTTCAGAAAGTGTGTCAAGGTAAGTTTGGTTGCGTTCCAGAGGGCCGCAGTTGTTATCTGCTTAAATTATTTCCTTCAACTAAAGTGACGGGCCATAAGCAAAGTCGTGAGTTAGAGTGTTCTACAAAGCGTGAACTTTATGCATTCTTCTGTTCCTTCCCCAGAGTCAATTACAATCACCCTCCGTCGTCTACTTCAATTCCTTCTTGGACATTTCACTCGAACTGCTCCTAACGGAAGACTTATATCATTAACGCCTCTTCTAGGTTCAGTTTTGTGAAATGTTTTTGCTGCTTTGTCTAGCCCATAACAGTTATAGTAAGAAATAATATTTCTTTAAATTAAATGCTTAACCGTTTTTGGCTTTTTTGTATCGAGTCGAATATTTAAAATTTGAAATATCCTTACAATTTCTTCAAACTATGAAAAATTTACAATTTTTTCAATCGAATAACAATAAAAACGCTCCAAATTGAAATTTTGTTACTAAGCTTTAGTATTTTGTCCCTCTAACTGTAGAGCCGCTGCAATACAAAAAGCCTGCTGCATCAACATTAAGTCACGATTCTAAAATTAAATTACTTTCCAAACGCGTGGAAAAAGTGGCAGATATTATTGATAGCCAAACCAGGCAAAGACCACACACAGGCGGCGTCTTACAGACCAATAAGCCTACTACCCAGTCTTTCCAAATTATTTGAAAAAATTCTGCGATCAAAAATATCTCTTTTTCTCCACCGTAACAATGTGATACCAGATCACCAATTCGGGTTTCGTGAAAAGCATAGTACTATTGAATAAGTTTACCGAATAACCAACGAAATCAGAAAGGCATTCGAGCTCAAGGCGTACTGTTGTGCAATCTTTCTTGACGTAGCACAAGCGTTCGACAAAGTCTGGCATAAAGGTTCACTGTACAAAATACATAAAGCTCTGCCTGTTCAATTTTATATGATACTTAAGTCATATCTGATTAACAGACAATTTGCCATTAAACAATCTAAATTTATCAGTGAGGAGTATCCAGTACAAGTGGGTGTTCCGCAGGGTAGCGTCCTCGGCAGACATCCCCTTAAACCGAAAAGTGCAGACATCTACCTTTGCGGATGACACAGCTATTTTATGCCGGGATAAATGTTCTAAAAGAGCAGCAAAAACGATTAGTGATCATTTACTCCTCATCGAAGAATGGCTCAAAAACTGGAGAATTAAAGTTAATGAACAAAGGTTCCAGTACAAAATTTTTAAAACACTAACGGGCGCACCATACGTACGTTCGTAGCGTAAATATTCATAAAGACCTTGGTATTTTACTGGTTAAGCCTGAACTTGAAAGAAGGAGGACGAAGTACTTCACAAAGCTGAGAAATCATACAAATCCGATAGCTAATGCTCTATGCAACCCATCAAGAAACTCCCTTCTGCAGCGAAGAGATGTTCCCGCCTTCTAAGGAGAGCGCCGTAGTTTGAAAAGGGCTCAGAGTTACATAACTCGAGCTATCATGTTTGTAATTTAGTTTTTAAGATTTGTACACTTACTGTTAGGCTTATATTATAGCAGATCCCGTAAATAAATGAATTCTGTAAAAAAAAATTAAAAATTTCAGCTAAAAAACAAAAATTTAACATCGGATATAAAATAAGTATTTTATGTCAATATATTTTTTTTTTTTTTTTTTAAATAATACATTTTATTTGCAATCTATTTGAAGTCCAAAAATAATAAGCAAATTATATAACGCAATTACAATTTAACTTATATTATTGATCTCCAGTGAGGTCAATAATAAAATACAATATGATCTTAAAGACTACATAATAATGATAATTAACAATTTATTGTCATATCGATATAAGTAATTTAATACAACGAAGTTAATTTCTAAATGGAAGATCTAGAACATGGTATCTCTTAAGTCTAATGGTTTCATTGCTTTCATCCAGTAACATTATTGCCAAGGGATTATCATGATTGCTTATCCTGCGTAGGTATGCTGTGCTAAATCTTTTAATTTCTTTTTTAATAAAAAGCATATTTAGATCTGAATGGATGGCTTTATTTGTGATGTACCAAGGGGCATTTGTAATCAATCTTAGAGTTTTTGATTGGTATCTTTGCAATATTTCAATATTTGAGTTACTAGCAGTCCCCCATAGTTGAATACCATATGTCCATATAGGCTTGAGTATGGCTTTGTACAACAGTAATTTATTTTGAAGATATAACGGTGATTTATGCCCGAGAAGCCAATAGAGTTGTTTAGTTTTTATTTTTAATTGTTTATTTTTGGCTTGTATGTGCTGTTTCCATGTTAGTCGTTTGTCCAAATGCATGCCGAGGTATTTAACCGTATCACTTTTAGGAATAATATTACCATTTAAAAATAAATTAGGACTATTATTTCGCCGTAGTGTAAATAAAATATGTACAGATTTATTAACATTTGCTCGCATTTTCCAGCAGTCTAACCAAGTCTGTATCTTATTTAATTCCTCTTGCACTAAATTAGTTGCTTCTATTGGAGTCTCTCTCGATGACAATAGAGCGGTGTCATCAGCATATGTAGCAATTAATACATTTTCTGTTACAGGTATGTCAGATGTAAAAATGGTGTATAGTACAGGACCGAGCACGCTTCCCTGTGGTACTCCAGCATTCATAAATGCTATGCTAGATGTTTCGTCATTTATCTTTACATAAAATGCTCTTTCTGCCAAATAGGACTTAAGAATTAGATATATTTGGGAAGGAAATATCTTTTTTAATTTAAATAGTAGGCCACTGTGCCAAACTTTATCGAATGCTTGCTGTATGTCTAAGAATGCAGCTGAACAGTATTCCTTACGTTCGAAGGAGTCTATAATGTAGTCCACTACTCGGTGGCATTGTTCAGGTGTACCGTGATATCGGCGAAATCCAAATTGATGATCAGGTATTACCTTGTTTTGTTTCAAAAAAGGCAAAATTCTATGTAAAAATATTTTTTCAAATATTTTAGAGAATAGAGATAACAAACTGATTGGTCTATACGAACTGATTTCGTTCTCAGGCTTGGCAGGTTTGGGTATCATCACAATTTCGGCACACTTCCACTGAGTAGGGAAATGGTTAAGCCTTAATATTGAATTATATATAAGCGTTAGAAACATAATACCTTTTTTAGGCAAACACTTAGCAACTTTGGCATCAATTTTGTCATATCCTGGTGATTTCTTGTTATTCAATTTCTCAATTTCGTTACGTATCTCTGCAGGTTTAATGGAACTCATTGGTAAAGATAATTGACATGGTGCATCAAGGAATTCAAATATTTCAGCATCGTTGTTATTGCCGCTACTAGTAAAAGTAGTGAAGGTTGCTTCAAGGTATTTGGCATATGCATTCGCTTTGCTTTTATCTGTTCTACACCATAATTGGTTACTGTCTTTTATAGGTGCGTTTCTTTTTTTAGGCCGTTTTAAATATTTTGTAGCATTCCATATCTTATGTTCCTCACAATTTCCATAATTTAAACTCTCAATATATTCGGAAACCGATTTGTTTCTGTAATCATTCAATTTTTCTTTAAGTTCTCTTGTAGTTTTATTAAGAATTGTTTTATCTATTGGGTTTCTACTAGTTTGCCACTTTTTCCGTATGCGTCGTTTACGTTGGATTAATGCTCTAATCTCAGCAGAAATATGAATTGAGCTATGAGATGAGAACTCATTCCTTCTTTGTGGAGTAGCATTAAAGGCTGCTTCGTGTATCAAGTTTGTAAAATTTTCAACTGCATTATCCAATTCTATTGATGTTTTAATAGAGGTACTAAGTACTACATTTTGTGTAATCCAATCTTGAAAAATACCAATTTCACTTTTGTTATTTAAAGTAGAATACTTCCGTTGCTTAACATTAAACAACGTGTTGTAGCTAACAATGATTGGCGAGTGATCAGAGCTAAGTTCTTCAGAGCTAGCAATATCTAATAACTGAGTTGGAATGCCTTTATATACGACAAAATCTAGGAGGTCAGGAATTTTCAATGGGTCGCTGGGCCAGTAGGTAGGTTCCCCGCTTGACAAAGTTTTTAAATTATTTTTTATAATGCATTTATAAAGCTCTCTACCCTTTGGGTTTGGGGTACGTGAGCCCCACCAGTTGTGTTTTGCATTGTAGTCACCTCCTACAAAGAATCTGGGACCGAGCGAGCTAAAGAAGTTTTCGTATTCAGTAGTTGTAATACTGTGCCTTGGTGGTGAGTACAGGGCATATATATGTAAGTCAATATTGTTCGATTTTATTTTTATTCCAGCAGCTTGTATTGATGGTGTTTGAATCGGTTCGAGG